CGATCGATCGCCAGCGCGATCTTTGCCCGTTGCCTTACATTCTGCCGACGCCGCCATCGCTGGGGCCAGTCTCGACTTCTACGCGGAGGAGGCTGGCGCGTCGTCGGCGCTCGGAGCATCTCGCCAAAGGTTCGATTGCAGGTCTCAGCGCGCTCCGCCCGCCGCGTGGGCAGCGCGGGCAGACCGCGGCGGCTCGGCGCCTTGCAGCTGCCGCAGTTTTGCACAAGGTGAAGACGGCCCCTTCGCCTGCCACCGCCTACTCACGCCGTTGAGCCGCGGGCCCCCGGCTAGCAGCCTGCCCCGCGCCGGGGGCGAGGCGCCGAGCCCCGTGGAACAGTGCGCCAGAGCCCGAGTAGACATCTCTGAAGTGGATGCGGCCGCCTGCGCCTGCGGTCGAGTCGGTGCTCGACCCGATCGGGGGGGGCTGCGTGCTGGGCTGCAAGAGCGTGGTGGTGCAGACACCTGGCGAGTGGTCGAGGGCCCTCGACTCGGAGCCGCCCGTCGCTCCGTGCAAGGGTGAGGTTTTGGAGTCGGATTCCGGCGCCTACCGCCCATTCGCCGTTGATATGGTGAAGGCGAACGTGGTCGGTCTCGCATTCCGCCCGAAGGACATGGCGGCGCCTTTTTGCGTCGCGAAGAAGTGCGGGTCCCAGGGGCTGGCCTGGGGCGTGCGAGTGCCGAGCAGGGTTCCGCTCGGCACCGCCCTTGTTTATGGGGGCGTCGGCTGCGCGCGGGCGCCTCCTGCTACCTGATGACCGCGACGGCGCGGGGGCCTATTCCGCGAAGCTCTGCTGCGCGCGGGCCGACGCCAGGAATTACTTGTGCGCGTTGAGGCTGCCGGCTGAGATCGGGTTCTTCTTCTCGCTGCCGCCCGTCTCGTGGGCTGCGCTGTCGCAGTGGGGGGTGGGGGCTGTGGGCTCTCCCGGCGGCCCGTCAGGGGGCTGGGTCTGGCCGTCTCTACGCGCCGCTCCGACGGGGTGGTCCTGGGCTTACGTTTTGGGGCGGCGTGCCAGCGCGAACATCTGCCGCCTCGCTTCGGGCCTCGGGGTCGCCGCGGTCCTGGCCGATCTCGGCCCCGCCCCGCCGTTCGACGGCGGGGCGCCCTGTCTCCTCCCCTACTGGGGTAACATCAACGCCGTCGGCGCCGACCCGGATTGTAGCAGTGCCTGTCTGAGCGCTATCTGCGCCGCGTGGAAGCGGCCTGGAGTTCCCGTTTGTGAGGGGGTGGAGGCGGCCGCCGCCTTCGCCGGCCTCGGCCGCTTTATCGATGGTGCCGGCGGCCGCGTTTGCCTTCGCCTTGGGCGCGCGGATCGCCTGCGTTAGGCGTCGCCCTGGCCGGGGCAGCGGCCGAGAGTCGCGGGCGGGGGGGGGTGGAACGATTCGTTTGTTATCTCATAGATCAAATCATGTTGGGGAGGGGGCTGATATGTACTTTCAGAAACTTGTGCGGTTTTGTAGGAGGCCGTTGCTGCGGGCGCGGTCGTCTCTGGCCTTCAGCTGCGTGCGAAGTCGCGCGCAGTGTTGTCGCCTGATTCCGCTGGTGGTTGTCGACCTCGGGCTGCCGTGGGGCCCTGTCGCGACGGTCTACGGCGCTCGTCTCTCGGGCATGGCCGCGCGGGGCATCGGGCTCGAGAGAGCCGATCTGCTAAAAACCTATGTCACGTTCATTTCGGAGCGCCCCGACTTCCCCCGGAAGGGTTCGCTCCGCTTGCCTCGATTTTCGAGGGCGTTCCAGCGCAGGGGGCGCGTGGGTCGCAACCCCGATCGCCGGCGCGATTGCGACGGAGTTGGGGGCTCCCGAGGGCGCGGTCGTGATCGTCGTGATGTTCTGCGCCTACCTCGGGCCAAGCGAGGCCCTCGGCCTCGCGCGCCAGGGCGTCTTCCCACGAGCGGCTCGCGCGAGCACTGCGGCTTCTACCTTCGCCCCTCGTCGAGGGGGGGGGGCCGCGAGGTCGGGCTGGCAGTCGAGGGCGTTCTCTTGGGCGTCGTCGAGGTTCCATGGCTGGGGCGCCTTGTCGCGAGGCGCGGCTCCGCGAGTCCCGCTGCGCTGCTCCTCGGCGCGGGCGCGCGTGGGCTCGGGCGGCTCTGGCGGCGGGCGCTGGCGCTGTCGCGGATCGGGCGGCGCTGCGTGCCTTGCCAGCTGAGGCGCGGCGGCCCCTCCCACGACCGCCCGCGCTGCCGCGGGCCCCTCGCCGAGATCGAGGACAGAAGCCGATGGGCCTCGGACTGTAGCGCGAAGCGGCGCGAGGCGCGCGCCCCGGTGCAACGGGGGCTCGCCGAACTCGACGCCGCGACCCGCGGGGCGGTCGATGCGGCGCCCGTGGGGCTCCAGACGGCGCCGGGGGCAGTGATCAGCCGGCAGCCGGAGACAGCGATCACCGCATCGCGGGCGCGCCCCCGCCGCGCGTCTTCCAGCGCGGAGCCCAGCCGAGGTCTTGCGCCGGGCCTTTCCTAGAGCGCGCGCGCGGCCCCGACCGTCTGGCCAGCGCGGTCGCCGCCGCTGGGCGGGCCGCGCGGGGCCGAGGCGCCAGCGACGGCGACGACGCCGACCTGCGCGACGCCGACGTCGTCTGAGCGTTAGAGCGCAACTGCCTAGACGGCCCCTTTGGCGGCATCCACGTGGGTTTGGGCTGCGTGGCGCGGTCGCGAGCTCGCATGCACGATGGTGTAGGCCCGCCGCCGTGGAGAAGTGATGAAGCCGTCTGGGGGCTGCCCCGCCTGGGCCGCATTCGTTCCACTAAGTTTGATGATGCCGATGTTTTGCCGTGCAATGTTCTGGGGCTGCTAGGCGCCGCCCTCGAGCGTGGCCCGCCCGTTTCGCCCAAGAACCCCCGCCGCCCCTCTCGCCCGCGGCTCGTTCCCGAGCTCAAGTCGAGCGCCGAGTCGGCGAAGGCGGAGCGGGCTCGCGTTGATTGTTGTCAGCGTCGCGTCCTATGGCGCAAGGTAACCGCTTTCTTCCTGTTCGGCTGGCCGCCCGCCAAGGCAACGTTGAAGCGGCGCGCGGGGGCGCAACTCCGATGCTGCGCTGCAGGCGAGAGACATCTGGCGCTGAAGGAAGGGCTAGGATCCGCGCGGAGTCTTTCGAGCCGCTGGAGCGCGCCCCTATCCCTTGCAGCTTTGTCGGACTCTGGCGCGTCTGTTTCCGGCCAGGGCCAGTGCGCTTCCTTGAAAGCGGGCGGGGGTTCGAGGTCTTGAATCTTGCCCTCTCGCTCCGTGGCCTTCGCAGCTCGCGCTGCCGCGGCGCCCGCTGGCTCGTTCCCCAGAGTCGGGTCGAAGCAGCAAAGGCGGCAAAACGCGTGGCATCGGACGCTATTCGCGCCTTCGCGTTGCTCGGCGCGGCCTAGCTCCAGGGTATCATGCCTAGTGCCTGCGCGTGAGTGATCTTGGGGGCGAGAGAGTGCCGCGGGCCTTCGGTTCAGGAATTCTAGCGCCCCTTTGCCGACCCCGGCTGCCGCCTGTCCTTTGCTACTTCTATCCTAATATGGGGTTCGAGGTCTTGAATATTGTTCTTTCGCTCCGTCGCCTTCGCAACTCGAGCTGCCGCGGCGCCCGCTCGCTCGTTCCCCGGAGTCGGGTCGAAGCAGCGACCGCAGCAAAACGCGCTTCATCGGGCGCGCTTCGCGCCATCGCGTCCCTTTGCACGGTTTTGGCTTCGACGGCCTCATATATATATATATATATATATATATATCTCGATAGGGAGAGAGAGAGAGAGAGAGAGAGAGAGAGACGGGTATATGTATGTATGTAGATCTACAGATATTCCAGGCCTCCTTGATGGGGATCGGAGCAGATGGGGTCGGCGGATCGCGCCGCATCGCCGATGAATCGGCGATTGCGGCTCGACGCTGAGCCTGAAACGTTGGCGTCGCCGATGCATCGCCGACGTCGCCGATGCGTCGCTGGTGCATCCCCGATGCGTCGCCGATGCGTCGGCGATGCGGCGCGATTCTCCGACCCCATCTGATCGGAACCCATCTAGGAGGTTCTCGATCGATTCACGTACATGTGTATAGAAATGTACACATTTGTGTGTATATATTCATACATATATATATATATATATATATATATATATATATCGCACGCTTGACACATCCACATGTTTTTACATGCGTGTACAGTGTACACTAAACATATGTCGATGTATGTATAGCGTGTATGTTTCTTACGCACGCCATGCATGTATGTATGCGTATATGTATGTGCATGCATGCATATTTGTATGTATACATGTGCCTACGCACGTATGTTTGTGTGTATGTATTTATGCATGACGGCGTGCGTACATGTATGCATGCATGTGCGCACGCACGCTTGTAATATTTATATATACACATATATACACATAGGTATACATATGTATATGTATATGTATATGTATATGTAAATGTATATATATATGTATATGTATATGTGTACGGGCATGTCGGTCTACATTTGTTTTGTTATGTTTATATATATATATATATGTCGACGTATATGTGCATGTCGCTTTGTATGCTTGTATGTCGATGTGTATGTGTGTATATGTATGCATGTGTGTGATTGTATGCATGTATGTATGTATGTATGTATGTATGTATGTATGTATGTATGTATGTGTGTATGCGTGCATGTTTGTATGTTTGTATGTCTATGTGTCTGCCTGTATGTATGTTTCCATGTACTGATTATTATATTAGAGTTGTACACATATGCATACAATGATAACGTGTGATAATGAAACAGAGAGAAATATAGATATCATTGCAGAGAGAGAGAGAGAGAGAGAGAGAGAGAGAAACAAAACATACAGAGAGCGAGAGAGGGGGGAAGAGACAGAGAGAGAGAGAGAGAAAGAGAAATAGAGAGAGAGAGAGATAAAGAGAGAGAGAGAGAGAGAGAGAGAGAGAGAGAAAGAGAGAGAGAGAGAGAGCGAGAGAGAGAAAGATAGAGAGAGAGAGAGAGAAATATAGAAAAATACAGACAATGAAACTAATAGGGGGAGAGAGAAAGAGAGCGAGGGAGAGATCGAGAGAGAGGGAGAGAGAACGATCGATGTAGAGAGAAACCCGCGTCCCGCTTCGGCGTCGGCGGAGGCCTTTGTCGGCGCCTCTTTCGAGGACCCCGCGGACGCTTACCGGAGGCTCTTCGACGACCAGGGCGAGGCCCTGAAGGCACCCCACGCGCGCGGCTAGGCCTTCGCAGCATTGGCGCCAGCCCTCGCGCTTCGGGGGGTCGAGTTTCGAGGGCCGCGGTTCGGGCTCGCTTTTGGTTCTTCGGAGGTTCGAGGTCGTTTGGACGCCGAGGGAGCTCGCGGACGTTTTGGTGCAGAGGCCTTTGGAGGCGCTCGGGGATCTCCGAAGACCCCTGCGGACCTTTTGAAACCCACATCTCAAGCGTTCATGATCTATTGAATCCCAACCCTTTTTGTTTTGTTTCCCGTACTTCGGCGTCCAGGGGTCCTTTTCGGGCCCCAGGGCCGCCAAGAAAACGGCCCCGAAGAGAACGGCGAGGAAGCGGAGGATGAGGGTCAGAAGGATAGCGAGAGAGGAGGTTGGAAGAGGAGAAAGAGGGAGAGGAGGAGGACGACGACGAGATGATGGTGGGGTGGTGGTGGTAATGATAATCATGATGATGATGATGATGATGATGATGATGATGATGATGATGATGATGATGATGGTGAGTGGCGGTGGTGGTGGTGATTGTGATGACGATGGTGATGATGATGGTGGTGATTATGCTTTTGATATCGATGTTGATGATTTCGTTGTTCTTGGTGATGACGGCAGCGTTGATGCTTCGAATGATGATGATGACGATCACGATGATGGTGATGATGAGGATGATGATGAGGATGATGACAATGAGTATGGTAATTGCGATGGTGAATGTGACGGCCTGATGATGATTTTGAAGGTGTTGATGCTTATGATATTCAATTATGGTCGCTGTCAAACGTTATGACGATTGCCATAGTGGGATGATAATGATGATGCTGCTGCTGATGATGATGTTGATGATGATGATGACGACGATGCCCATGCTGATAACGATGATGGTGGGGACGATGCTGACACTGATGATGAGGGTCATTATGATGATGATGCTTTTGACGCTAAGGCTGATGGTGGTGCTGAAGATTGTGATGATGCTGATATTGATGTTTATGTGTCTGTTACTGCTGTTGATGGTGGTGATGATGTTTAGTATGATGGTGATGATGATGGTTGGGTGGTGGTGATGATGCTGCTGATCATGATGGTGGTGATGATGATGACGATAGTGATGCTGATGATGATGCTGATGACGCTGATGATGATGATGATGATGATGATGATGATGATGATGATGATGATGGTCATACTGATACCGATAATGATGCTGCTGATGACGATGCTGAGATGATGATGCTGCTGATGATGATTATGATGGTTATGCGGTGGTGATGATGATCATGATGATGATGACTGTGATGATGCTGCTGCTGATGATGATGATGCTGATGCTGGTGATGATGATAATGCTACTGATGATTCTGATGATGATGATGATGATGGTGATGCTGCTGCTGATGATGATGATGATGATGATGATGGTGGTGGTGGTGGTGTTGACGATGCTGATGGTGATGATGAAAATGATGATGATGATGATGATGATGATGATGATGATGATGATGATGATGATGATGATGATGATGATGATGATGATGATGATGATGATGATGATGCTTGTGCTGATGCTGATGACGAGGATGATGCTGCTGCTGCTGCTGCTGATGAACTGCAGCAGCAACAGCAGCAGTGGCAGCAGAAGGAGCAGCAGCATAGTGGCCGTTGCGAGCGTGGCGAGGGGCCCGACAGCGGCAGCCTGTGCGCTCAGGAGGCCGAGGAGTTCGAGCCGCGCATCGAGTGGACCAAGGCCGTCGTCATCCTTCGCGTCGGCCTCGTCGTCGTCGTTGTCGTCGTCGCCGCCGTCGTCTCCGTCGTCGTCGTCGTCGTCGTCGTCGTCCTCTTCGTCGTAGCTGTCATCGTCGTCGGTATCACGAAATTGCCTACTCTGACTCCGGTTTTTATCTTTCCGACACTGACTCCTATGCTTCCGACTCCGCGCCCGCCATTCCGCCTGCAGTTCCGACTCCGGCTGCCCTCTTTCCGACGCCTGCTCTCATTTTTCCGACTCCAGCTTCCGCATCCACGGCTTTGGTTACCACATATCTCCGTCTCGGTTTGTGGACGACAATCAGTGGAGAGGAAACATGTTACATGTCTAGAAATTGTTTTAACATGTCTTAAATATGTAAGAAACATGTTTGTTTAAACTCATTTTTATTTCAATGATCGGATTGTTATGGTGTCCATTGTCATGGCATTCACTCGACTCCAGCTTCTGGTGTTGGCCCATATAAATAACTTTCCGACCGCCTACCAAGAAGCGGTCGGTTGGCTTCGCTTGATGTTTTCTTCCTCCTCTGCCCTCCCTGCCTCCTCTCGGTAGGCACTCTGTGGCGTCACAGTGTCAGTGCTTCTCTTTGGAGCTTCGGCCCCAGTCTGCAGCACCCCCGCGGTGCAAGATGCAGGCCGTGTCTGTGTCCGTGTCCGTGTCCCTGTCCGTGCCCGTGTCCGTGTCCGTGTCCGTGTCCGTGGCCGCCGTCGTCTTCGTCGTCGTCGTCTTCGCCGTCGTCGTCGTCCTTGTCTTGGTCCTCTTCGTCGTGGTCGGTGCCGTCGCAGTCATCGTAATCGTCATCGTCGTCGTCGTCGTCGTCGTCGCCGCCGTCGCCGTCGCCGTCCTCGTCGCCGTCGCCGTTTTTGTCGTCGTGGTTGTGATTTTCGGCGGGTCTCGGCGGATTCCAGAGGCTGTTCGGGGCCTCTCGGCGCTCTCGATGGGATCTGTGCGCTCTCGAACGATGTTTTCCCAGAGGTCTATGGGACGTCGGTCGTCGTGCCTAGATCGGGTGTTGCCAGAGTCGGCGGCGTGCCCATGGGGAAGTGCAGAGGGGGGCGGACATTTACAGGAGGCGCAGAAGGCTTCTGGCCTTCTGGGATTCTTTCTGGGCCGCCGATGACTCCTCAGAGGGCCGAAGGGCTTCTGAGAAGCCCCGCCGCCTTCTGAGAAGGCCCGCCCCTCGGCGCGCCGCCGACGGATGTGTCTCTGGCCCAAGGTGGCCCCGGGATGTCCCGAGAGGCCCAGGTGACCTCCAGATCTCCCCTTCACGAGGCCCCGGGTGGCCCTGGGGACTGCAGACAGGCCCGCAACGCTGGGGGCACCTCGGCAGAGCTTCTCACTGTCCGTTTCGATCCGGTCCGACCACCAAACCTCACATACTCCAGATTTCGTAATAAAGGGAGGGGGGTCTCATTTCGGGGGGGGTCTCTTCCAGGCTATCTTGGAGGGCCTGGGGGGTCTGGGGACGATGTTTTGGAGGGTTCTCCCACGGGGGAGGTCTGAAATGGCTTGTCTTGGAGGGTCCAGACCCGCTCCCTTTTCTTACGAAATCTGGGGTATCCGATCTCGATCACGTCCGATCCGACACGGGCCGATGCCCTCTTCGGCCGTGGGAATCAGAGGAGCCACATCTCATGATACAGTGGGAGGCCACGACAAGGCACGCCCTGCGTTTCGTCAGGGTTCGCTGGGTTTGTGTGGCTGGCGTTCGGCGCGGAAGGTGCCGCACATTCGGAGAAACTGCAAAGGCCAGGGCACCCTGGGTTTCTTCGGCGTCGGTCGTTTCGGGGCGCGCGCACGAACCTCCAAGAAACTTCTGGGCATTCGGGGTGCCTTAGGTTTCTTCGTCTGCAGCCGAAGTGCAAGAAACCCAACCCTGGACCAAGGAACCTCGGCGAATTTCAGGGTTGGGTTTCTTGCGGTGGGTCTCTTGTGCATCGACCCCCACTGTAATGATACGTTCCAAGATTGCCACGACGTCCATGATCTCCAGGATTTCAGTTGCTCCGCACGGGCTCTAGAAATGAGGGTCGCCAGACACTCTGGAATGCCTGGACGGTATCCAGGGCCTGCCGCATCAGGACATCAATGCTCAGCGGCTTCCGACATAATCGTTTTGGTCTTGTTGTTTGCTGCCATGTGCGTTTCGACGTATCCGATGTCCAGGTTCTGGCATCGCGGAGCTCTGCTTGTGACCTTACGCTCGTACATCCCCCTGGCATGCCGAGCTCACCGCCAGCCCGTTGCATCTTCTCGCACTCGTGTGACGTCTCGTGTCTCTTGGTCGCCAAGCGTCCCCTCAGCTTTCCCCCTCCCCCTCCTCCTCCTCCCCCTCCTCCTCCTCCTCCTCCTCCTCCTCCTTCTCCTCTTTAAACCAAACGCATCAGGACATCGTTATCGTCCCAGACAGTCAGAGGCCAGCGCCCCCCCGCGCGGTCGAGGCCACGCTGTCGCGCTACTGTGGCCGCGAGTGGCTGCAGCAGCTCCTGAACACGCTGAACGACGAGGCGGCCCCCCCGAGGAGGAGGGGAAACAGGCGGAGGAGGGGGGTGTTGGTGATCGTTTCTTATTCCTTGTTTTGCCGATCGGCGCGGGCTCTCGTCCCCCCACACCATGGAGTAGATCTTGGCTGTTTTCGGTGCCTGTTTCAGGCAGGTGGAGTAAGCACGGGGGCCCCGCCTCCCCCCCTGATGGACACGCGATTCGATGTTCCGCGCAACTGTGCCTTGTGTTTTCGAGGCTTTTCTCGGGAAGTAAGAAGGGGGCTCCAGGGCGCCGGATGCGATGTAATCAAAGGCAGCAGCGTGGAATAGGGATTCCCCGCTGCAATGTCCCGGCGGAGAACCGCGGGCCACGCGGGGGCTCGTCGTCGGGCCCTCCGCCAGTGGCTCCTCCTTCTTCTCCTTGTCGTCCCCCGCCCCCTGCCCCCCCCCAGCCCATCCCCCTGCTGTTGCTCAGTCTTCCTCCTCGCCCTCGTCGTCGTCGTCGTCCTGGTCGTCGTCGTCGTCGTCGTCGTCGTCGTCGTCGTCGTCGTCCCCCTCCTCCTCGCCCGGTTGCGGTTGCGGTTGCGCGCCCGCGGGCGCCTTGAAATGTGTCGCCCGGTTGCGGTTGCGGTTGCGGTTGCGCGCTCCCGCGGGCGCTTTGAAATGTGTCGCCCGGTTGCAATTGCGCGCCCGCGGGCGCTTTGAAATGTGTCGCCCGGTTAAGGGTTGCGGTTGCGGTTGCGCGCTCCCGCGGGCGCTTTGAAATGTGTCGCCCGGTTGCGGTTGTTGGGTTGCGGTTGCGCGCCCGCGGGCGCTTTGAAATGTGTCGCCCGGTTGCGGTTGCGGTTGCGGTTGCGCGCTCCCGCGGGCGCTTTGAAATGTGTCGCCCGGTTGCGTTGCGGTTGCGGTTGCGCGCTCCCGCGGGCGCTTTGAAATGTGTCGCCCGGTTGCGGTTGCGGTTGCGGTTGCGCGCTCCCGCGGGCGCTTTGAAATGTGTCGCCCGGTTGCGGTTGCGGTTGCGCGCCCGCGGGCGCTTTGAAATGTGTCGCCCGGTTGCGGTTGCGGTTGCGGTTGCGCGCTCCCGCGGGCGCTTTGGAATGAAATGTGTCGCCCGGTTGCGGTTGCGCGCTCCCGCGGGCGCTTTGCGGTTGCGGTTGCGGTTGCGGTTGCGCGCCCGCGGCGCTTTGAAATGTGTCGCCCGGTTGCGGTTGCGGTTGCGGTTGCGCGCTCCCGCGGGCGCTTTGAAATGTGTCGCCCGGTTGCGGTTGTTGGGTTGCGGTTGCGCGCCCGCGGGCGCTTTGAAATGTGTCGCCCGGTTGCGGTTGCGGTTGCGGTTGCGCGCGCCCGCGGGCGCTTTGAAATGTGTCGCCCGGTTGCGGTTGCGGTTGCGCGCTCCCGCGGGCGCTTTGAAATTGTCGCCCGGTTGCGGTTGCGGTTGCGGTTGCGCGCTCCCGCGGGCGCTTTGAAATGTGTCGCCCGGTTGCGGTTGCGGTTGCGCGCTCCCGCGGGCGCTTTGAAATGTGTCGCCCGGTTGCGGTTGCGGTTGCGGTTGCGCGCTCCCGCGGGCGTTTTGAAATGTGTCGCCTTTGCGGTTGCGGTTGCGGTTGCGCGCCCGCGGGCGCTTTGAAATGTGTCGCCCGGTTGCGGTTGCGGTTGCGGTTGCGCGCTCCCGCGGGCGCTTTGAATGTGTCGCCCGGTTGCGGTTGAAATGTGTCGCCCGGTTGCGGTTGCGGTTGCGGTTGCGCGCCCGCGGCGCTTTGAAATGTGTCGCCCGGTTGCGGTTGCGGTTGCGGTTGCGCGCTCCCGCGGGCGCTTTGAAATGTGTCGCCCGGTTGCGGTTGCGGTTGCGCGCCCGCGGGCGCTTTGAAATGTGTCGCCCGGTTGCGGTTGCGGTTGCGGTTGCGCGCTCCCGCGGGCGCTTTGAAATGTGTCGCCCGATCGCGGTTGCGGTTGCGCCGCCGGGTTGCGCTCCCGCGGGCGGTTTGAAATGTGTCTCCCGAGCTGCCCCCTGACGTTCAGTCAGTCATCAGTCAGCCGGCGGGCACGGAATTTCACCCGGCTCCGCCGGGGTGGCCAGTTGTTGTGTGTTCTTCTTGACTTCAAGATCCTGAAGATTCCAGTCGGATTCCCAATGGTTTCTAAACTGTGTCAAACAGTCGCGCTAAGCAGAGGTCCAGAGCCAGTTCCCACTTTTTGCCCAATGCCGAATCGCCAGTTGAGAACATGTTAATTTGGGGGGTGGTATGGGGAGACGGGCGGATGATGATGATGATGATGATGATGATGATGATGATGATGATGATGATGATGATGATGAAGATATGATGAACATGATGACGACGATGACGATGACAATGACGAGGATGATGCTGATGCTGATAATGATGATGATGATGATGATGATGATGATGATGATGATGATGATGAAGATTATGATGATACTGCTGATGATGATGGGAGGAGGCAGGAGAGGGAGGAGGAGTAGGAAAAGTTGGAGGAAGGAGGAAGAATGAAGGAGGCAGGAGGGGGGCGTTGGGGGGTGATGTGGGGAGACGAGTGGATGGTTGTGGTGATAGTGGGATAGGTGACCATGGTGTTGATGTTTAGATAGTGTTGATGAGAAGGATGATGCTGACTAACTGATGATGCGGATGATGATGATGATGATGATGATGATGATGATGATGATGATGATGGTGATAGAGCTGATGATGATGAGGATGAGGATGAAGATGAGGATGAGGATGGTGACGATGGTAATCATGATAGTCACAATGATGATACTGCAGATGATGATGATGCTGCTGATGATGATGATGACGATGATGAGTTGATTATGATTATGACGATGGTAAGACCGATGGTAACACCGATGACGGTGACGACGCTGATGATGATGATGATGATGATGATGATGATGATGATGATGATGATGCGCATGCTGGTGATGACGAGGATGCTGATGCTGATGATGATGCTGATGATGATGATGCTGATGATGATGCTGATGTTGATGTTATGCCTTTGTTCTTCCGTCAATGATTCGCTCGCTCGAGCGATATGTGATGATGATGGTGAGAATGCTGCTGCTGATGCTGAACATGCTACGATTATGATGATGACGACGACGACGACTTCGATGGCGACAATGTTGATGAAGACGATGGTGATGATGTTGATGATGATGATGCTGATGATGATGATGAGGATGCTGATGCTGATGATGATGATGATGAAGATGATGGTGATATGCCGCTGCTGATGCTGATGATGATGATGAAGGTGCTGCTGCTGATGATTTTGCTAATGATAATGGGGTGATAATGATGGTGACGCTCATGATGATGGTGGTGGTGGTGATGATGACGACGGCGGTGGTGGTGGTGGCGGTGGTGGGGATGATGATGATGATGATGGTGATGGTCTTGATGATGATAATGATGATTGTGGTCATCATGGTGCTGCTGCTGATGATGATAGTGATGATGATCATGATGGTGTGGTGGTGGTGGTGGTCGTTGTGGTAATTGTGATGCTGCTGCTGATGATGATGACGATGATGACGATTCTGATGATGATGCCGATGCTGCTGCTGTTGATGAAGATGATGAGTAAGGTGATGATGCTGCTGATGATGAGTAAGGTGGTGTTGCTGATAATGATGATGATGATGATGATGAGAATGATAATGATAATCATAATGATGACGCTGTTGATGATGCTGATGATGCTGATGATGATGAGGATGCTGATGCTGATGATGACGATGATGAAGATGATCGTGATATGCCGCTGCTGCTGATGCTGATGATTATGATGATGATGATGAAGGTGCTGCTGCTGATGATTATGCTAATGTTGATGGGGGTGATAATAATGGTGATGCTCATGATGATGGTGGTGGTGGCGATAATGACGATGGCGGTGGTGGTGGTGGTGGTGGCGGTGGTAGGGATGGTGATGATGATGATGATGTTGATGATGATGATGATGATGATGATGATGATGATGATGATGATGATCATGATGATGATGATTGTGGTCATGCTGAGGATGCTGCTGCTGATGGTGATGATATTGATGATGATCATGATGGTGTGGTGGTGGTGGTCGTGGTGGTAATTGTGATGCTGCTGATGATGACAATGATGATGATTCTGATGATGATGATGATGCCGATGCTGCGGCTGATGATGAAGATGATGAGTAAAGTGATGCTGCTGCTGATGATGAGTAAGGTGATGATGCTGATAATGATGATGATGATGACAAGGATATTGATACTGATGATGGTAATGATGCAGATAGCTACGATGATGATGATGCTGATGATGTTAATGATTGTGATGATGATATTTAAGATGATAATGCTGATGCTGATGACGATGATGATGCTGATGATGATGATGATGCTGCTGATGATGATGCTGAGGCTGAGGCTGATGTTGATGCTGATGCTGATGCTGATGATGATGATGATGATGATGATGATGATGATGATGATGATGATGATGATGATGGTAATGATTCTGATGTGTAACATGGTGGTGATGGTGATTGGGATGGTGCTGGTGATGGCAAGGGGGAGGATGGGGAGGAGGAGCTTGGTGAGGAGCCAATGAGGAAAAGGAGTCATAGCAGAGCGGTCCCAAGTTGCCGAATGGGCGTGTCCCAAGCTCGCTTGCGCCCAATCATCCCTTTTGCCACGAAGTACGCCAAGAGTGCGCGCGAAGAGTCTGTCAGGCATGTGGCGCGCACCCTTGTGCTTCAGGCACCGCGCGTAGCTGTGATATTGAAGAGCGGCAGCGCTGGACCGGTTGCCTCAAGGGCCTCCGCCCCGACGTTGAGGACCCGCGATGCTGTTCAGGACTTGTGTCGCTGGTCCGAGAACCCTGCTTCGTGGGTTCTAGGGGTTCATGTCGTTGGGCTCCGAGCCCTGTGCCCATGGTCGATTGGGTTCACCGGCGCCCTTCCGACGCGACCATCGTCGGTCCATCTCAGGAGGTATTGTGCCCAAAGACGCGGGTTCCACGGTGCACAATTTTCTGTACTGTGCCTGACTGGTGCCCACAGTGGTGCACAAATATGTTTTTGAAGTTGTGTTGTGCCCAAAGTTGGTTCGGATGCGAGGATGCTCCGCTCTGTTTGCCTGCTTCACTTGGGGCACATGTCCAGGCACCGAGCTTTTTGTGGAGGGGGGGCACATCATCTTTTTTCGCTGGGTTCAGTTTCGGGTACGTGGCGGGTCAATTCATGCATCCATTCGGGACATCGTGCTGGCTCTGTTTTGGGCACGCAGGGGTCTAGTCCAGGGAGGTGTCCAGGCATCCGAGCGTTGGCTTGCCAGGAACCCTGTGTCGGTGCAGCGCCGGGGAGTGTCGTGAATGGCGTCGTGTCGTGGCGGCCTCGCGTCGCAAAGATGGAGCCAAAGGGGCCCTTAGGGGGGGCCTTGAGGGTACTGGTCTACCCTCTTAATTCCGTCCTTAGCGTCGACTAGCGTCGATTAGCGTCTGGGAGTCGATGAGATGGCGCCGATTCAGCGTCGGTTAGCGTCGATTAGCGTCGATGTAGTGTCGATTGGCGTCGACTTAGCGCCGACTGGCGTCGATCCGCAAGAACAAACAAGATGGCATGGGAGGCTCCCATGAGCTAGCGTCGACTGGCGTCAATTCGCAGAGGCCAATAAGATGGCATGGGAGGTTCCCATGAGTTGCCACATAATGCTGGGCGAACAAGAACAGGGAGTCAGGAAGGCATCGGGCATCGGGCGAATCAGGCAGGCAATCGCGAAGCACACCGCGCGTGAAAAAACCATTTTGATTTTTGGGGTCACCGTTTGAGGCACACTCTGGGCACCGTGCGGGGCACCGTAACTGTCTTGGACTAGCCTTCTTGTGAGAGCAGGGAGAAAGGGAGGAGGAGGAGGAGAAGGAGGAGGAGAAGGAGGTGCAGGAGGTGGGAGGGGGAGAAGCATGATGAATGCGGAAACGTGGTTGAAGGAGGAGGGCAACACCCGGTGAACACCCGGTGGCTCCCGGAAACATACAACATGCCAGAACAAATCGGTTCCTCGATCCTGACCCTCCTCCCATTCTCCTCTATTCTCCTTCTATCCTGCCTCCCTTTGGAAGGCCCTCCCTCCTTCGGTGCGCACCCCCCTTCTTGCCCTCCCTCTATCCCTCCTTCCCTGGCGGCGGCGGCCTCCTCTATCTCTCTACCCCTCCCTCTTTCCATGCCTCCCTCCGTCTACCCTCTGCCCTCCCTCTACCCTGTACCCTCCCTTGACACTCGACCCTCTATCCCTCTATCCCCTATCCTCTGCCTTCCGTCTATCTTCTGCCCTCGCTCGGTCCATCCCCCCCCCCTGTCCCTTCATCTTTTTCGGGGGGGAGACCCTCCCCCCCCCCCTCCCCCACCCCTTGCGGTAGCGGCGGCCGTCGCCGCGCCCTCGCCTCGCCCAGCGCGGCCGTTGCGCCGATGCGGCGGGCGGGGGCAGCGGCGCGTGGCTCTACCTGTTCCCGCGGCTGGCCAGCCAGGCGGCCCTGCCGGGGGGGGGGGCAGCTGGCGGACGGGGAAGGGGAAGGGGAGGGGAGCGGGGCGGGGGGGGACGGGGGAGGCATGGGAAGAAGGGGGGAGAAAAAAAAGGGGGAGGGGGAGCTGGAGTCGGAGGGAGGGGGGGGGAGGAGGAACATGAGGAAGATGGTGAGAGGAAAGATAGGCGGGCGGGAGGAGGAGGAGGAGGAGGAGGAGGGGGAGGGGGAGGGGGAGGGGGAGGAGAAGGGGGAGGGGGAGGGGGAGGGTTCAGGCGAGATCATTGTTTTAGCAAGGGGCTACCCTGAATCATTTCGTCCAACATGAATGCCAGAACGTTCTCCGCGGGAACGCACTCTTCTACATGAGCCGCCCTCAATCCTTGAAGCTGCTGCACACGCTCTTCTTCTGGTCGCAGAAACCCAGGAAGTCTTCAGCCGTAGCCTCCCTGATCTGCGGGAGCCGACGCGTTTCCGTGCGCAATGTCTAGCGAGAGTCCCAATGGAAGTTTTACATGCAAGGCGAACGCGCTGGTGCTTACACATTGAACGTCGAACGCGACCACACTTACGCAACCACCAATTTGAAGTCGTGCGACTTTGGGGGTTATTAAGCGGACCCCCCGCCTTGTCGCTGCTGCCCTCGGATGTTTTGGGGTAGGAGCGTGAGCGGCGTCAGATCGATATCCCTCGAGATGCGCAGCGCCCTCTGAGTCGAGACCATCCGCGGCGGACTCGAAGTCGAGGCGCTTCACGTCCACTATATCTTGTCCTCGGCTTCCGCCAAGCTCCTGCTGACGCCGCCCTCCTCAATGCAGTCGCCGATGAAGAACGCCTGCGCGCTCCCCTGGCATTGCTAGAGGAATACCGTGTCGCCATGGTCGACAACTTCTGCCCCGCTTTGCCCGCTTTTTTCCAACGAGCGACATGTTTGCACCGCACGGCGATGGCGACCAGGGAATGGTACGATGCACAGGTTTTCGGCCCTCGGAGCCGAAACGCCGTGCACCGTACCGCGCTGGAGTGGGGCCCGCAGGGAGTCCACACAGGGTGCGGTGAATGCGCCGTCCTCGTACAGTCGAGACCGGTGGCAAGGATGGGTATCATTCCCAAGGGTACCCTTGCATCCTTGCCTCTTTGGGCCATCTTTGACTACTTTCGGTGGCCCGTCGCGCTTGGAAAAGCTTCACACGGGCGCCCAAATCCCTTGCATCCATATCGCGCATCCTTACTAGCAGTTTGACCGTATCGCCCCAGCGCGCCGCCAGGCGAGCCTGGCCCTCCTTAACGGGCGGCGGAGGCTCCCTCCCCCACGCTTGGCATCGCTCGGAGGAGCACCTGGGATCATCTCGGGGAATCTTGGACCATCTTGCGGATCAGAACACGACGCACCAAGCCGACACATGCACGGGTAACGGACGCCCGAGCGATGGCAGGCCGGCGTGCTTGGCCCTCCCTCACGGGAGGCGGAGGTGCCTTTCCCCGACGCCCTCGGGGCGGTCCGCGCCTCTCTCGGCGCACGGGCGCGGCCGCCGCGGATCGGGGCCATGCGAGGTGCCCCGCTGCGGTGCGCCACCCCGGACGATGGCGCGTGGCCGCCTCGACAGCGGGGGTTGAGTCCCGCACGTGGCGACTTGAGCAAAAATGGCTCTGGAGGCATGGATGGGGGAAGAGATGATGATGATGATGATGATGATGATGATGATGATGATGATGATGATGATGATGATGATGATGATGATGATGATGATGATGATGATGATGAAGAAGAAGAGTCTGACGATGACGATGATGCTGATGATGATGAGACTGATGATAACGATGATGATGATGATGATGATGATGATGATGATGATGATGATGATGATGATGATGATGATGATGATGATGATGATGATGCTGACGTTGATACTGATTATGCTGATGAGGATGCTGCTGATAATGGTGATGCTGATGCAGATGCAGATGCAGATGCTGATGCTAGTGATGCTGATGCTGCTGATGATGCTGCTGATGATGATCTGGGAGAAGAAGGAGGATGATGATGAGGAGGAGGAGGCGGAGGAGGAGGTACTCTTGAGGGAGAGAGGGAGAGGGGGGAGATACAAGCTGTATGCGCTCGCACCATATCTGACATCCTATCCCTCCCACCCATGCCTTCACTGGCCGCTGATTCCACAAAGGAGCCCACCTGTGTTTTGCGTAATCGGACATGGGGAGTTGCGTACAGAGGATGAGGAACTGGCGGATGAGCAGGAGGATGAGCAGGAGGACAAGAAGGATTATGAAGGATGCGGGCGAAGACGAACAGCAGCAGGATCATGAGGGCCAGGGGAAGGCGGAGGAGGGGAAAGCCGGGGGACAACAAAATGAGGACAGGCTCGGATCCAGAAAAGAGGCCCGCTCTGGAGCGAGAGTGCCGCTGTGAACGCCAGGAGCAAAACGCCGATCCTAACATGAGGCGCACGGTGCAGCGGGAGTACGACTTGGAAGGACAGGAAACGATCGGATTGCAAACAACTTTTTCACTTCGCAGCGCGGCAGAGGCGATCCGCACGCGCGCTCTAGCCTGTGGCGCGTGGCGTACTAATTCACCGGCGGCAAGAGAGAAGGAGGAAGAGGGCGGCCGCGGAAGGCAGGCGGGGGAGGAGGTTGTTCATTGCGGACAGAGCTTCGGCAATTTATGAGATCCTGCATGTATTCGGAAAAGTACTCGGAGGGCGTAGAGGATCTTCCAGGCAGATTCTGGGGAGGCAAGTAGTACTCATAGTGTGTACCTGCGGGAGGGGGAGAAGCAGGAGGAGGAGGGAGGAGGAGGAGGTCGAGGAGGAGGAGGCGGAGAAGGGAGGACAAGGAGGCGGATGCGGAGGCGGAGGGGGTGGAGGTGGTTGTGATCGAGGAGGAGGAGAAGGAGGAGCAGAAAGAGGATAATGAGGAGGATGACGGTGGTGGTGATGCTGCTGCTGATGATGCTGCTGAAAATGCTGCTGCTGAAGACGAGGTCCCATCCCTTACCATTGCGCTGATTTTCTCTATCCGCGGACGCGTGTCGTAGCGGACCTGTGGCTCCGCGCGCGCGTGCGTAGTGGGTGGTGGTGCGCGTGCGTGCGTGCGTGCGTGTGTGCGTGGTTGTGGTGGTGGTGGTGGTGGTGGTGGTGGTGGTGGTGGTGGTGGTGGTGGTGGTGGTGGTGGTGGTGCTGGTGGTGGTGGTGGTGGTGGTGGTGGTGGTGGTGGTGGTGGTGGTGGTGGTGGTGGTGGTGGTGGTGGTGGTGGTGGTGGTGGTGGTGGTGGTGCGGCGCGGTGGTGGCGGGCGGATGGGCGCGCGAGAAAGAGGCCCCCGCTGGGGCGAGAACGCCATCCTGAACGACGGAGGCCAAACACCGATCCGAAAATGAGGCCCACTCTGCAGCGGGAGCACGATTCGGAACGATTCGGGAGCAGAAATGAGGCGGGCGCCTCAGCGAGAGCAGCATTTGGAAAAAAACGCAAGCGAAAACCCAACTCCTGGGAATCCTGTGTTTTGAAAAACAGTACGCGGGGGGGGGTCGGCCACTCCCAGCACGCCATCAGGGGAAGAGGGAGAGTAGTATTCAAATTGAGTAATTGTTAAGGAGGGGGAGGAGGACGATCAAGAGGAGGAGGAGGAGGAGGAGGAGGAGGAGGAGGAAGAGGAGGAGGAGGAGGAGGAGGAGGAGGAGGAGGAGACCCAAAAAGAGGAAGGAGGGGACGAAGAAAGGGGCATTGGGCAGAGGCGGGAAGGACACTCATACTCCGCTAGGCCTCTCGGCCTCCGGGTCGCTGCGGCTTGAGGTTAACCCACATCCGAGTAACACTTCAGCTTCCGGAGCGCCCCATCCAACGGCCTGGAGGGAGGAGGGAGGAGGGAGGATTAAGGACATCGGGTGGACTAGTGAGGAGGGAGGATGCTTCTCCTCCGTACATATTTCCTTATAACTAACTTATCCCTGTCGCACTCCGAGCCCAGTTTTCTGGGCGGGCTGGGCGTTTCGCCTCAGACTTTCTTACCATTGATGTCCCTGAAGCTTAAAAATGGGCAACAGCTTCGCAGATGGAGAGCGGGTCGCTTTCAAGATGTGTGTCTCGCTTTAGCGCTGCGCACATTCGTAACATTTGCAAGAGTTTCACGGATTGAGTGCGGATGGTTTTTCAAAATTTGTTTCTCGCCTTAGCGTCGCGCGCATTCGTTGTAGCATGTGCAAGGGTTTATGGATTAAGGCTTGGCACTTCCTTTTCAAAATGCGGCTCTCTCCCAAGCGCCGCGCACATTCGTTTGCAATTTTGGCAAGAGTTTCAAGGATTCCCGTGATCAGCGTACGAGAAATGGTGTTCTGGAAGGATTCAGGAGTTTGAGGGTGCAACAGTTACGTTGATTCGTGGTTTTGAAGTCCCAGGAATGGGATTCTGGCATGATGCAGGATCGTCAAGACGCAACAGTCAGGTTGACCCGTGGCTTTGGAATTCCCAGAACAATGTTCTGGCATGCTTCCGGGTCTTCAAACGGCTGCTTTCCAACGAGGCAGCTCCCTCAGTGGAAATGAACTGATGTAGGGGCCTATGAAGAGGGAGTTTGGAGGGAGGTTTTATTCCAACATCGTTGATTACTTTTGGGTTTACGCTGGTCCTCCTCCTCCTCCTCTTCCTACTCTTCCTCCACAGTTGAACACTATGAATGGTAATCTCCCCTCTCCCCTGGTGGCGTCCGGGGATTGCTCGGCCCCCCTCCGCGTATTGTTTTTTAGGCAGGATTCACGGGAGTTGGGTTTTCGCTCACATATGTACAGATATATAAACATGCTGCTCTCGCTGAAGTGCTGGCTTCATTTTCGGGCTACCGCTGGTTCCGCATCGTGCTCCCGCTGCAGCGCTGGCCTCATTTCCGCGCTTCCGCTCGTTCCGAACCGTGCTCCCGCTGCAGCGTTGGCGTCATTATTCCCAATGCCATGCCACGGCATGCTTTGCGGTGAACTCAAATCGACCCCAACATCTAAACAATGGTAGTCCGAAGAAACCATTGGAAGGTATTCCACATTTGGTGGCGACTCGTTGATTTTTTGGGCCGCGGAAGCCCCTCCCATCCACTTCGGCGCGTAGCCACGCCATGCTATTTTATGCGACGCGGTAGTCTTCAACACCATGCTATGCCATGTAATGCTATGCCATGCTGCGACATCCGATTGTGCGAATAGAGAGGAGATCTACACCATGGTAAGGGATGGGAGTGAGGGGTAGGACGTCAGAAATGACGCGAGCGCACCTGGCTTGCCCCCCCCCTCCCCTTCCCCCCTCCTTCGCTTCTCCCCCTCTCCTTGTCCTCCTCCTCCGCCTCCCTCTCGTCCTCCTCGTCTTCCTCGCCGCCGTCGTTCTCCTTCTCCCTCTTCTCCCCTCGCTCCCCCCTCTCTCCTCCCGCCTCCTCCTCCCCTCCCCTTCCTCCTTCCCTCCCCCCCTCCCCCCCTTCCTACTTCCCTACCTCCTCCTTCCCTCCTTCCTCCTCCCCTTCCCTCTCCTCCTCCGCCTCCTGCCCAGCGCAGGGCGGGGGGAAGGCGGAGGTCCCTCGCCAGGCCGAGGTCGTGGACTTCAAGGAGATCACCGACGCGGCGCAGGCGGGCCGCCGCCAGCCTCGCCCCGGCCCCTGCTGCCCTCGCACAGGGAGGAGCCCATGGCTGCCGCGGAGAGGCGGAGGGCGACGAGGGGAGGGACGAGAAGGGGGAGGGCGAGGAGGGGAGGCGAGGCGGAGGGCGAGAAGGGGAGGGACGAGAAGGGGGAGGGCGAGGAGGGGAGGCGAGGCGGAGGGCGAGAAGGGGAGGGACGAGAAGGGGGAGGGCGAGGAGGGGAGGCGAGGCGGAGGGCGAGGAGGGGAGGGACGAGAAGGGGGAGGACGAGTCTCACTCCCAGACGGGAGCTCAGAGGAGGGGGGTGTAGCATGGAGGGCCCTCCGCGGTTAGGGCGGGCCCCGTGCCGGCGCCTCGGGCTCCTGGACCGTCGCGCCTCCCAGGCTGCGGCCTGCGAGGCGACCCCGGGGTCCCGCGCGCGCGCTGGCCCGCTTCTGCCAGCCTTGACGTCTCGGTCAGTCGCCTGTCGGGCGTGGGGCCCCGCGTCCGTCTCGGAGCAGTCTCCCTCTTCAGCTCTCTGCTCTTCCTGCTCTCTGCCTTCCTCCTCCCTCTTTCCTCTTGCCTCCTCTTCCTCCTTCTGCTCCTCCTCCTCCTCCTCCTCCTCCTCCTCCTCCTCCGCCTCCTCCCCCTTTCTCCTCCTCCTCCCCCTTTCTCCTCCTCCTCCTGCATCTTTTTCTTTCAAGTAACTCCTGCCTGTCACACCCCCAGGAGTGTCGGTATGGCGGGCCAGGCGTTTCGCTTCAGAGTTCCACACCGCTCATGATCCTGCTGCTTGACATTTGCAGCAGCTTCACGGATGAAGGCGGACGGTGTTTCAATCTGTGGTTTGGCTTTAGCGCTGCGCGCATTCGTCTTACATTTTTGCAGCAGTTTCACGGATGGAGGGCGGGCGGCTTTCAAACTGTGTTTATCGTTTTAGCGCCGCGCACATTCGTTTTTGCAGCAGTTTCAAGGTTGAAGGGCGGTTCTATTTCAACATGTGGCTTGCATTATAGCGCCGCGCCCATGTGTTTAGAACGATTGCAGCAGTTTGAAGGATTCGCATGGTCGCAGTCCCAAGACAGGTCTTCTGACAAGATTTAGGATTGTCAGGACGCAACAGTCACGTTGATTCGCGGTGTTGAAGTCCCAGAGATGATGTTCTGTCACGGCTTAGGGTTGTCAGGACGCAGCAGTCACGTTGATTGGCGACGCCGAAGTCCCAGGATTTGGGTTCATTGTCGGTATCTTTGCAGATTTTCAGACGGTTGTTTTCTTATGATGCAGTGTCCAGAATGAGAAAATCTTGTAGGGCCATATGGTAATTGAATTTGGCGGGAGGGTTCATTGCGTCTTGGCTGTCTTCTGGTCGTCCTCCCCCTCCTCCTCCTCTTCCTCCTCTTCCTCCCCCCCCCACCTCCTGTGGTCCAGTTTTCCAGTCTCTAGACGTTCAAGGCTTTTTTGGGCCGTCGCAGGGATGTTTTTTTTCATGCGCAGGCTCATGCATGTGCTTGGTCTTGGACGTTGCAGGGTCGTCTCCAGCGTATCCGATCCGATCTGGTCCTCTCCTCTTCCTCTTGCCCCCCTTGCCCCTCTCCCACCCTCCTCTTCTTTCCAGGGGGCACGGGGGAGCTGGTCGCTGCTGATTTTGCCAGGCTGGCCTGCAGCTCCACGAGGCACCCCACAACGGCATGTATTGCCAGACGCTGCAGCTTTCACCCAGAACCTCGTCGTGCGGGGCCAGGAAAGGGACAAATGGTTCCGGACCGTTCCAGAACTCTTTCAGAGCGTTCTGGAATGTTCTGAGCAGGCCGCGGCGCCCGACACATCCTCCAGAACCGCCGGATCTCAGAGATCCCCGATTCATCCCTGTCCGATTTTGTCCCTGTCTTGGCTTTGTCTCACCTTTGCATTCAACAGTCCCTCATCTGCTTCCGCCCCTGCCACGGCCCGGCGAGCAAACCGAGAAGGGAACACCCTGGGAGGCTGCCGTGGTGCGCGCCGCGTGCCACCGCTCGGCGGCACCCCAGCATACTAATACGGTGGGGGCGTTCGTTGAGAATGTGTCCAGGAAGCTTCGGACCATAGCTGATTCATTAACTGATGAGGGCGGCGACGACATTCATGGCCAATCCACGAGTGGAGTTCCGCTGTCTTCTAGATTCCAGACCCTGGATTCCTTATCCGATGGTTCTTTATCCAATACCCTCACTGTCCGTAGCAATTTTGGTTCAAGGCCATGGAACGCCCGACGACCGCGAGTCGTTTGCGGCGTGTGGAGCGTCAGGGGCTCCCTGTTTTGAGCCAAAAAACACTTTTGATCTTTCGAGTTGGGGAGCAGCGGCGCGCGGCCGCGGCGGCATGGCGCCTCTCGCGCGGGGCGATGGTGCTGTTCCTGGCGATAGTGGCGGCAGGGGTGACAGCACCTACTGGGTATGCCACTGTGGTCGGTGGAGCTACTGCACGAGGGTTCGGTGCTTCGGCTGCCAAGCCAAGGCGCTTCCTTGGGCGATCAGGCGGGAACCCCTGCCTGAGCCTGACGCCGAGGGCTTCGTTCAGGCGGGCAAGGGCACAAAGGGCCGACGCAGGGCACGCGCCGTGGCAGGGGCTCCAGCGGCGAGTACTTCGGACTCGTGTGGAGGAGGCAGCAGCCAGGGCGGCAAGGGCAAAGGCGGCGGCGGCTCGGATCAGACATCCCGCCTGGCAGAGCTGCCGAGGTGAACGTGCTGGCCATGGTCCTGGGCCGCGCGATGACCGCGGGCGAGCGCGACGCGCTGATCAACAGCCGGGCCGCCGAGATGACTTGCCTCGGGACCTATTTGATCTGGAAGGCCGACGAGTTGTTTCGGTGCCGCCTGGGCTGGCAGCGCTGAAAAAGGCGGGAAGTGGACGTCCAGGGTCGACTACAGTTTGGAGGAGTACCTTCGCCTGGAGGGGGGCATCGACACCGAGAGCCTGAAGGCCGACGAGGAGGCGCCGGAGAAGCTGAAGCGCCGTGCAGTCCTGAACAAGTACCTGAGCCATAGTCGCGAAGGGACGAACGGCGCGGACGGCGAATGCGTTGCGGTCGGTGGGGCCGTGGTCATCACTGGCCAAGAGCTTGCTACAGGCACTTTACCGCGCAGTGCTTCGAGTGGGTCGGCGCGTGGCTGGCCTTTGCTGGGGTCGCTTGGGCTGGGGCTTCTCCTGTGCCTGAGCTGGGCGTTCAACGAGCCGGCCTGGTCGGGGTCCCCCTTCTGGGCGATTTTCGAGCCAGTGGCGGGCGAGCCACGCGGGGGTGCTGACCTGCGTGAAGGAGACGACCAAAGACGTCGACCCCGACTCAGGGCAAGTGCTCAAGTGCAGGCTCATCTGGGACGGCAGGATGGTGAACATTGTGTTCCGCGACCATCCGCGGGTGCCGCTGGGGGGCCCAGCTGGGCTGGCGCTGTAGGAGCTGGGCGAGATGATCTAACGTGGGCAGGGCGACGTGCTGGAGTGGTCCTATCGGCTGCGCTGGGGCTCGGAGCTGGCGGAGTACTTTGTTGTGGAGGGTGTTCTGCCGCATGAGCTGCGCCAGTGCGCGGGGTTGGAGGGCTTGCAGTTCGAGTTGCCAGCGGGCTTGGATCCGGGCTTTGGAACAGCGAGCCTCGTGATTGGGTTTGCCTGGGCGGTGTTTCTGGCGCGTGCCTGCCCGGGGTCGAGCTTTGCGTCCATGAGGGCGCCCGCGTAGAAAATGAGGGGGGGGTGACGCCGATCTCTGACATGTCAGCGGGGCTGGCGTTGAAGCTGATCCTGCTGCCGCGCATCGACGATTGCATCGGATTTGCCTTGGCGGCGCCCGAGGGGGGGGGGTCAACGCGAGGGGCGAGAAGGAGCTGAAGCGGATCTTGGACGGCAGATGCTTGGCGATCCAAAGGGGGGGCTGGGGCGAAGGGCCGTCGGCAGCTCTGGTGCTAACTAATTCAGCTTCGCGACCGTGTGCGTTGAGTCGAGGGCGAGAACCAGGTCTCGGAGCTGGTTCGTCGTGGAGGGCGCCGTCTGTCACTCGATCTTCGCGAGCCTGGTGAGTTACTGGACTTGGGCGATGATGGTGTTCCTCCCGGCTTTCGCTATCCTGGATGGCGCCCGCAGGTGGGTTGGGGGCTGCGAGGGGGGTGGCCTGCCTGGTGGCCTCGCCCTTTTGCGTGGGCTCGGGCTTGGCGGCGTCGCGGCGGCGGCGGCCGCGCGTGGGCGGCGCCTCGGGCGCGGGCTGTGGATCACTGGCTGGCGACTGCGCGTGCGAGGAGGCGCGGGGGGGGGGTCGGCGCGAGGCGCCGAGGGGCTCCGGGGGCCGCGGGCGGCGGGGGCGCGCGCGGAGCTGGGGCGGGAGGTCGAGGCGGCGGGAGACGAGGGGGGTTTGCCCGCTCGCCTTCGAGCTGCCCGTCCTGGGGCGCTGTAGCTTGTCTCGGGCTCGTCGAGGCTGTTCGGCGCCATCGTGGGGCTCGCGAGATGGTGGGGCGAGGCGTGGGGCATCTCGGAGGTGGTCGAGTGCGGCGTCCTGGTGAGCTATAACTTCGAGCTGCTGCTGAGGGGGATGCGACAGGGCTGGTTCTGGTGAGTGCATATGGCGCCCCCTTGCGCTATCTTTTCAAAGGCCAGGCCGCCGCCTCTGAGGTGGGGCGAGCACATCTGGGGCCTGCCCAACTTGGACATGGAGAGCCGGGCGATGCTGGGAGAGGGGGGCCAGCTCTGCTTGGCGGCGGTGGAGGTGGCCCGGCCCTGTTCGCGGCTGGCGACCCCCTCCGCGCCGGAGACCCCGGCGGGGAGTTTCACCTGGACCCCCCCCCCCCCCGCCGATGGAGGCGCTGGAGAAGGCCGACATCTGGCGGATGGAGTCGGGCAACTGCGCGCGCGAGGTATGGGAGAAGCTTGCGGCCTTCATTGCGAGCGTGGAGGACGTGGCCGTTCTGGCGAGGGGGTGCGCGGGGGCGCTCTGGCGCCGCAGTCGTGCGAAGCAGCCGCTCCGGGGGCCGAGGGGGAAGGCGCCGCGCGGAGGGGGGTGGGCGCAGTTGGCGCGCGCTTGCCCTCTGGAGTAGTGCAAGGAATGCGCAGAGGTCGTTCGGCGGCTGGGGCCGGCCTGGGAGTCCATGCCATCGGGGGCTCGCGCGGGGCCGACGGGCGGTCGGGCCCAGGTGGCGAAGGTGGCGGGCATCGATTCCGCGGGGCGTTTCGAGGCTGAAGCGGAAGTGGCACGTCCTCTAAGCAGGCAGCTGGTCGCACCAGGAGCGCGACGACGCGTTGGAGATGAGCGCGGTGGTGGCCGCGCTGAGGCACTTGGGCAAGGCGTCGCAGGCCCGGGGGCGCAGGGTTCTGATTTTCACAGACTCCCCGGCGTTCCTGGGCTCACTGCAGAAGGGGGGATCGTCGGCGAAGGACCTGCTGCGCCTCTGCCGCATCCGGGCGGCTATCCAGATGGGCGCCGCGGAGGAGACGGTCAAGCTCCGCGTGGCGAGGGGCGCGCCTCGGCGGTTGCAACGTATGCTTCGTCAGCGGCAGGGCCATGGACAAGAGGTAGCTGGGCCGTCGCATTGTGACCGCTGTTGCTTGCTGGGCCCGTGGTGGCGCTGTTCTGGCTAGGGGGGGCGGCTGTGGCCGAGGCGCGGCCCCCCCTCAGTCGAGATGTGGGCTCGAGCCTGGGAGGGGGCGTAGCGCGATAAGCTGCCGTGCGCGAACCGACTCGCGGACCGCGCGGTTGGCGGCGCAATCAACCAGGCCCGCCAGAAGTCAGTTCTGGAGTTTTTGGTCGACGTGGCAAGGCACAGGCTGGACTTCAGCGACTGCAAGGCTCGGGGCCAAGCGCTCGCGGATTACGTTTGGGACGTGCGCTGCGTCCGCCAGCTCGACGTCGGCCGTGCCAACGTGCTGGTCAACGGCTTCGCGCGCATCTTGGAGGGCCTTCGCGATCGGCTACCTGCAACGGCGCGAGCGCCCAAGTCTCGGCAGCAGCCTGGGCAGCAAGGCGAAGCAAGCGCCTTTTCCCTTGGCGGCGGTGACGCTGGCGATCTGCCGTCTCTTTGGCGCCGGCCTCCTGGTGGAAGGATCGGCCGCGCTGACGCAGCTCGACGGTTGGCTGAGGGGGCGGGGCTGGGGCCAGCTCAGGTCGGAGGGCGCGTCGGAGGGGCCCGGTGGTCAAATGGCCTTCGCCCTGGGCAGGCGTGGGCGGGGGGGGAAGGTCAAGACGGCGGCCGACCAGGCCGTGGTCCTATCGTGGCCGGCGACAGTTGCCGTGGCGAGAGGGATTGCAGCAGTCGCGCGAGTCGAAGGACCTGGTCTTCCCCGTCGTGCAGGATAAGTTTAGGCGCGAGTGGCGCAGGGCGTTGGGCGCGGTGGGGCTGCCGTCATGGGCCGCCCCCGCGCCGTTCGGCATTCGGGGGCGTCCTCTTCCGTGGCGGGCGGCGGCTGCTCGGAGGCGGCCCGGCGCAGGGGCAGGTGGCAGACGGCGGCGGCGCTGCAGGGGTGCGCGACGACGCGCGTGCCAGTGGCGCAGCTTGCGAGGGTGACTGACTCTCGAGTGCGAGACGGGCTCCTGGGCGGCACCAGCTGAGATCCTTGCGGTCTGCGGCCGGGAGTTTCTCGCGGCCGGCGCGCCGTTGGCAAGGCGCTCTTGATGGGGCGCATGAAGGTGCGCTGCAGCCAGGTCGAGCTGCCGAACTTAGACGGAGGCCAGGTGCTCGCGAGTGGGCGCACGTCGACTGCGGGCCGAACACAGGCTCGGCGCAGGAAGAGTGCATAGGTTTGAGCTCGGCGCCTCAGCTTGTGTTCTTCATCATTTCGCATCGACCGAAGCTGGGCCTGTCGAGGTTGTAGGTCCCCTGTCCTATCTCCGTACTCCCTAACACAGTGATGAGGATGCGTTTGTAACGTTGTCTGGGGACATCTACATAAATAGGTCTGGAGCACAACGCTGGCGTCTCAATGTTCCCTCCCTCCCCGATTCCTGGCGTGGGCTGGGTGGCTTGGCAAGTTTGCCAGGCTCGTCTGATTGGGGACGGGGTTGTATGCGTGCAGCTCTGTCTCGGGGGCCTTTTTGGGCCCGTGGGGGCCAGGTCAGGTTTTTGGCGACGGAGTCGCCCGCTTGAACACTCTTGGAGGGGCGTCCCTTGCTAGCCTGTCTTGTGGCACCGGGAGCCCTCCTGTTGCTTCGTCGGATATTCACGAATGTGTGTGCGGTTGTCACTCCAGTTCCTCTGCCCCTGTTGTGCCCCCGTGCACTTAGTTAAAGTCTGGCTGAGCTGAGTTTTTGAAGCGTCAAGGCAAACATATAGTACTAGTGTGTGTCTGTGCGTCCCAACCGCCGCCAACCGCCCCACTCAGGCGGGACAGGCGCGCCTGGCGCGCTGGCACCATGGGCAGGCCTGGCTTGACCTGCGGCGGCTGCTGGGTGACGGCGCAGGCGGCCTTGCCGGGTGCGCCGGGCCGTCTTCGGCCCTGGTCCTCGTGCCTCCTCCGCCACCGCCGCCTCCTGGTTTTCCTCCTCTTCTTCCTCCTCCTCCTCCTCTTTCTCGTCCTCCCCCTTCTGCTCCTTCTCCTCCTCCTCCTCCTCTTCTTCCTTCTCCTCCTCCTCTTCCTCCTCCTCCTCTATCCCCTCCTCCTCCTCCTCCTCGTCGTTCTCCTCCTTCTCCTCCTCCTGTTCGTGTTCCTGTTCCTCCTCCTCCTCCTCCTCCTCCTCTTCCTCGTCGTCGTCCTCGTCCTCGTCCTCCTTCTCCTCCTCCTCCTCCTTTTCTTCCTCCTCTTCCTCGTCCTCCTCATCTTCAACCTCCTCCTCCTCCTCCTCCTCCGTTTCCCTCCTCCTCCTCCTCGTCCTCGTCCTCCTCCTCCTCCTCCTCCTCCTCCTCCTCCTCCTCTCTCCTCCTCCTCCTCCTCCCCCCCCCCCCCTTTTTCCAAAAGGGCACGGGCACACCTGTGTTCCCGACTCCAGCGCCTTCGCTTCGCTTCGTTTCCTCTACCTTCCTGCCCCCTCTTCCTCCTCGTTCGCCTCCCCCTTGTTTTCATCTTCAACCTCCTCCTCCTCCTCTTCCTCCTCCTCCTCTGTCTCCTCCTCCCCTCCTCCCCCTCCTCCTCCTTTTACTCCTCCTCCTCCTCTTCCTCTTCCTCCTCCTCTTCCTCCTCTCTCTCCTCCTCCTCTTCCTCCTCCGCCTCCTCCTCCTCCTTTTCCTATCTGCTGCGGCGACCCCAGCACCTATCTGTCTTTGGAATGGGTACCCACTGGGGCCAGGCGTGTGAGGAACGTCCAACACAGTGCTCTCAGCAATGCTCTTGGCGCCTGGAAGCCGCCTTCGGGCCCCAGGACCGTCGGAAATCAAGGTAGAAGGCGCTCTCATTGAGCTCCGCGCGAATGACTGCACATGATCGACAGGACGTGAGATGCCAAACACATGGCCCCTGCGAGTCAGAGGGGGGCCATCACATTTTTCCGCCCCCACGGTGCGGCTTTGAATCGGCGGCACACCTGGGAACGCGACAGGGCCCCATTCCCCAACAAAAGAAATAAAATAAGCCACTTTGTACGCCTAGGGACGACGTGCCTTCGGGCGAGGAGGAGGAGGAGGAGGAGGAGGAGGAGGAGAAGGAGGACGAGGACGAGGACGAGGAGGACGAGGAGGAGGAGGAGGAGGAGGAGGAGGAGGAGGAGGAGGAGGAGGAGGAGGAGGAGGAGGAGGAGGAGGAGGAGGAGTTGAACTAGCCCCCGCGGCCCGGGGCCGAAGGGGCTGCGCCACCCCACCCCCGCGTTAGGCGCGGTGCGGACTCACGGTCAGGGGCAGCGTTAGGGGGGGATAAGGCTCAGGGGGGGATGCACCCCCACTCGCATTGGGGTGTGCACACTGTGTTGTTCCCCCCCCCCCCCTGGAAAACCTTGGTTTCGTGGCCTATGCGTCCGTAAGCCCCAAACCCAATGTTTTGTTTAAACCGTCATCTCCGTAACAACATTCCAGAAGTGGTAAGCCCTTGACGCGGGTGTAGCCGATTGGCGAATCTTAGTAGCTTCCACTCCGTGCTCGTAAGGGCTTGGTGCCAATGCGCGTTGACCATTTCGCGTGCCATCACTCATGTAATGCACGATAAGGTTCTCGCGCTTTCTCTCAAACTCAGCCGCGCTCGGACTCAGATTCACTCACGTCCGCTCAAATTCAGACTCACTCGCACTCAGACTCACGCCAGCGCTCACTCACTTTCAGACTCACTTACACTCAGACGGCCAAACATATCGTCAGCACGCAGTCTTTAGGCCGCCCCGCCCCATAGCACCCCAAGGTCCCCATGAGCTTGTAAATCCTTGAGGCAAGGAGGGGATGCGTCTTCGCATAATCAAAGTATCCTAGCGTCCCAACCGCCTGTGAGCCCCGCGGGGGCTGGTGGACCCATTGTTTCTGAGGTGTCGTGTATGGTCTTATGATGAAGGCTTGAGGGGGATCTGGGTGACTGCGGCCTACACAGGGCCTTACCAAAGCAATGCACACGTCCATCGCATCGTGCTCGTCATCATCATCACCGTTTCCATTTGGGCTCGAACGCATTTAGCAGCATGCGGGCTGCAGTCGTATTGAGGGGCTCATCGGCCCCGTCCAGACCAACGAAGAGGCAGCGATGCGACGCTCAACACATTGTCGCTGTCAGTTCTGAGGCTTCTCATGCAGACAGGAGGCGAGCGGAACGACAGATCACTGCAACAGGCCATGTAATCAGTATCTCCCCGTTACGTGATTCAGATCAGAGAAAGCACGAATTTCTCTGGCATCCATGTGATTGCGTCGAATGGCATCTCGGCGACGTGCATCGTTTTCCAGCTGTTGAGATACCTCACGGTGCTTGTAAACAGGGGACTTGTTTCGCCCGGCACTTCAAGGATGGTGAGATGATGGACCCGTGCCTGCGAGGTGCTAGAATCGGTGTCATGTTGCCCAGGCTCCAGTACAAGCTATTCTCTTCTCAGCATCGCACGTGGTTTGTGACACATCGGCGAGCCGCCGATGAAGCTGGCATGGCCGATCTGGTTGCTCTGGGCCCCCTGCCTGCTCGAGATCAGCCTCTTGGCGATGCGGGCGACCCGCTGGACGACGGCTACGATGGCATGGCCGACGATGACGCCGACGAAGAGGATACGAAGTACACTCTGGACCAGATCGTTGCCGCAGTAATGATTTCCCACGGGATCACAAATCAGAACCACTTCAAGGCTGTCTTGCAAAATTCTTACAGATACGCTGGGGTGGAAGACCTAGTTGGAGATGACATATGCCCGCATCGCACTACTTTAGACAGGTGGCGTTTCAAAATGGATCGGATCCTGATGCTGTTTCGGCGGGCGCAGTGGCAGCGTGGTTTCTACCGCGACTGTTTTTTTCAGTTGGGCGCAGATTCATCGCCGCAGATTGGCGAAGATTACTTCATTATTCTGGAGGAAGTGCTTTCAGTGTCCAGGCGCCCGGGTTGGGAACATTCGCCCCTCAGCGTTCTCTCTGTAGAAACGCGCGCCAAGCCATTGACCACCCTGGGCCGGGGCGAAGCGAGCTTGGCGAAAAAGCATATACGGGTTGCTCATTCGATGTACTTGGAAGTTGGAGACGCACACCAAGAGCAATACCGCATGAAGATGAGGCAAGGCTACGCGGATCAAGGCACTGAGCGACAGCTCTGGAAGTGCCCAAACATCTTTGGCGTTGGCAACGGCCAGACTGCGCAGATTATCGAGCGGCTCGCGTCAGGAGATTTGCAGTTGCATGACCTTGATGCGGGGAAGGGGATGATGTGGCCCAAAGCTTGGGATACGCCTGGACATCTACATCTGCTCTTTGGCGCGCTGAAGAAAGGCTGCCTCGCCATGCCGCAGTGGATGGACCTCGAAGCTGGTTTCCGTGGGCTTGGAACGTTCATGAGCAAGCGAGGTCTCCGAAAGAGGCTCGTCAACAACTGCTTCCAGGACCGCACCACCGATGCTGCTATATTTTCCAAGTGGACGGGTGGGAACTTTTCTTGGAGGTGGGAGAAGCTATATGTGTTCTTGCTTCAGCTACGCCCTCGGATCAAGATACTCATCGATGTTTGTGACCCAGAGGTGATGTCACAGCAGGAGCGTGAGCATGACGATGACGAAGAATCCAAAGGCATCTTGCGCCGCGTCACTGCAGCACTAGCCATTCCTGGCCTGCCGATCGTGATCGAGCTCCTCTGGGTGAAGGTGCGGTCGATCTACATCGAGGGGCGCTGGCTGGAGGGGTGCCGATGCCATAGTCGATTGCGTCGACCAGTTCACCATGGTCTACCAGATAACCGTTCAGATGAGCATGAGGGCTCTGTGCGGTGCCCATGGGAAGGGCGCCGCGCCGTGGAGCTCGCTATGGGTCATGCGGAAAAATCTCGGCGCATGCTCGTGGAGGCGACGTCGGAAGATCTGACTCGCATGCTGAACTCTTGTGATGCACCCTCTCGAGCTGCGTACCTCCAGGGCAACGATATCTTGGTCAGCGCTATCTCGGACGAGCTGGCTGCGAAGTTCGCGTGCGCAAACGAGTGCCCCGTCAAGTTTTTGAAGGTTCGACGATGCTGATACTTTGCAGGTCAAGTTTTTGAAGGTTCGAAGTACCCAGTACCCCGTCAAGTTTTTGCAGCTACTTTGGTGGGGCGATTGCAGATTCGAAAGCTGGTTGCAGAGAAGCATTTGACTGGTACGACGGTCTGCCTAACAACTCTGTTTGCCCCCATGTCTGTCGATGTTCTTGGCGCCAGGGGACCTGCGAATGGCGGCGGGAGAGTGCCTCAATGCAGACAACAAGCCAGTGCACGGATGGTGGCCATTGTTTCAGGAACTAGTTGTGGCCATCGCGATCCTACTTGTCGAACGCCGTCTTGAGGGTCAGCATTCCATCGTTGGGTCTGATGGCATGCAAGCTCTCACGAACAGGAAGTTGCCACCGAGCGTCTCCGCAAACTTCAGACACTGTCAACTAAAAGAAGCAGTACGGCAGGAACTGTTCTGGCACACCTTAGAGACAGAGTGGAATGGTAGATCAATTTGGCCACAACTTCTGTCTCGCCGTGTGGGCCCGGTTCAATTACAGTGCTTGTCGTTGAGTGAAAGGTACGAGAATCTCTACATGTACGACGAGGCTGCGTGTTTCCAGCGCGATGCAAATCTTGACGCATGCATAGTGGGTTGGAAGATAGCGCTGGCAGACGTCGAGCCAGCCAAACCATTGCCATTGACAGAAGCGCAGTCGTGCTTGATTGAACACTTCAGGTCCTTGCTTTGGCGCGGATGCGTCTTGTCTGTGCCGCTTTGCGCCGTCGCTGAGGACGGCGACCCCGCCAGCACGGCGGCTGCCATGCTAGATGCATTGCAGGAACCTCCACCGGCACCACTTGATGCATTGGGTGACGACGTGAAGCTTTACGACGTGGTGCATCTCAACCCAGGACGCCGAACCTTGGCCAACACTGCGGTGAAGGAGCACATCCCGTCGACGTGCATCGGCGTCCGCGAGCTGAAGCCCATTGGCGTCATCGAGAATGGTCGGGTCAACATTGAGCAGGGCGAGAACGGCGTCCAACTGTTTGATTTGGGCAAGTGGACTACTCAGCAGAGGTTTCGGCATATGTGTTCGAGGGTATTCTTATGGCGATTAGCCCGCGAATCGACCAGCCTCCATCCAGCGCGTGATGTCTGTCCAGCCTTGGAGGGCGTTCCAGCTGAGGACGAGGAGGAGCTACACGACGAGGGCGCGCCAGTGCTAGACATTGTCCCACATGTACCGATGACGATGGCAACCCGCATCGAGAGCCTCTCCCAGTTGGCGGTCATGGAGAAGACGTATGTGGGCGGCATACCTATGTTTGGAAATCCAAGTCTGGAGACGATCAGCAAGCACAGTATAGACGCCCTTCTCCGCCGCGGCATTCTGGTGAAGCAGGAGAGCGAGTTTGGCGACGAGGTCATGGACATTAACTGGCGGAAGGTACGTTGGGAATCACATCGGGTTGCATTTGATCCTGTTCCATTTGCCAGACACGTGAAGGGTGCTTGTGGGTTTCGCGATCTCTCGAAAGTTTCGATATGCGTTGCTTTGTTGGACATGGGCTGGGTACCTATGAGACGCCCTGACCCGATAGCAGCAACAGACAAGACATTCTGTTATGAGAACTTGTTCAGGAGCAAGTCTTACTGGCTCGCTCTGCTCAATGCTACGGGAATTCTAGAGGACAAGCACGTGGCAACGATCTTGCACAACAAGCCATACGCTTACTATGAATGTTTGATCCAGCTCCCAGAAGAAAAGCTGCGGGCGATTCTCAACGACCCGAGCTTCCCCCGCTTCACAAACAAGGACTTCATGAGGTTTTTGAAGGGCGAGGGCATTGCGATAGAGCCGATGGTTGCAATTGAGGGTGGAGGCGCAGACCCATTGGCCCTGACCCTTCACGAGGATGCCGAAGCAATCGTCCACGCGCCGATCAGGCCTGCCATCCGCCCAAAGCAGCGGATCTTCGGCAATGGACTGTTCAAGATATTTGTCGATGGTTGTTCGCGCCAGAGCGGTGAGCAACGAGCCTACATCAAATGCCCGAATGATGACCACCATGCGCATCGGCTCTGTGTAAGATACACGTTTCTCCACGTACATGGATCAGAGAAAGACTGCTGCGCATTTCTGATTTCCTGGGCCGAGGGCGGTCGTCATGCGCACGACCGCGATCATCATACATATTTCTTTCCTTCTGATGCACAGCTTGTGACCGCCAGAAAGATCGTCGATGGATACAGTGGCTGAAGCACCGCATGGAAAATCGTCGTCGTCACAAACATCCCCCACGTCCGAACATCGCAAACATAACAAGTGTAGTACATCAACATAAACAGCACTCTTACTCGTTGGACTAGCAATGCATGGCATAGCAACGCGTGGCATAGCACGTCAGGCGTAGCAGCGCATGGCATAGCACAACGCTGACCCCTGGCATAGCATGGCGTAGCAACGCATGACATAACACAAGCATGGCATAGCACAAGCATGGCATAGCCTGACCCCATGGCATAACACAAGCATGGCATGGCGTAGCAACGCATGGCATAGCACGTCAGGCGTAGCAACGCATGGCATGAGTGTGGGATCGACGACCCCTGCACGGTTGAAAGCTTCGCGCCTGGAGAAGAGCTTTTCGAGGACAAAGGCCTTGTCACGCATGCTTCCGCACGCCGCGAACAACATTTCTGAGTCAAAACCTGTTTTTCTCAGTCGTTGCACCCTCAATCGCAAGTTTCAGAGAGCCGCGTCAACAAATCGTTGATTCTTTTTGAGCTCTGGCTTCTGGGGCAGACCAGCGAGGATGAAGGGGCGCCAGGGGCTGTGGGGGGGGCGGAGAAGGGGCGGAGAAGGGGCGGAGAAGGGGCGGAGAAGGGGCGGAGAAGGGGCGCACAGAGGTGAAAACGGGCGGAGAAGGGGCGGAGAAGGGGCGGAGAAGGGGCGGAGAAGGGGCGGAGAAGGGGCGGAGAGGGGCGGAGAGGTGGCGGGGCGAGCCCCGGGAGGGCCCGGGAGGCCCCAGAGGCTCTCGGAGGCCTTGAGAACTTTTGGGGAGCCCTGAGAGGCCCTGAAAGCGCTTGGGAGAGCCCTGAGGGCCTTGCGAGGCCCTGGGAGGACCCTTGGGAACCGTGGGACGTTCTCCAGAGGCGTTTGGAGCGCATAGGAAGACCCTTGGAGGCTTCTCAGGGTTCGCGAGGCCTTGGAGGCCCTTGCGTGGCATGCTCGAGGGCTGCTGACTTGGCGATCTTTGATCTGGCAATCCAGCGTTCTGGAGTGATCCGATTTAGCCATTTGGGCTCAAAATTCTGGAGGTCTGCATCGCACCGCATTTGTGCTTGCCCGACATCGTCACTCGACATGTTGAGCCGCAAGCGTGTCGCTTGCGCATCAGACTCCGATTGCGAGTTCGTCCCATCGTCACCCGGGAGCGGCGCAGAGGTTGACGCCAACAACCCAGGCGAACAACAATTCACGAACGTCCATGACACCGTTGAGCACAGAGATCTGTATACTGGTATGCTGGAGGCCAAACACTACTTGTGGATTGGTCCACCCTCTTCACTCCCTGCCTTGTGGAAGGAGCTGCACAGCGACGCTTGCACATTCTTGCCCAGGAATTTCTCTGATGCTCGCTTAGCCATTCAGAATCAGTTGAAGCTGAACTTCAACGAGGCTACCATCTCGTACTGGCACGCTCTCCTACTTGAGGCTGTGCCGAACTACTGCGAGTACATGTGCGCCCTGGAGGACATCATCATGATGGAGCTGCTGCAAATATTCAAGCTCATGGCTGTTTTTGACCACGAGACCAACTGGAAGTTCGACTTCGTCGAGGGTTTCAGCGGGCGCCAGCGGTTGTCTCAAGCTTTCAGGCGCCAGCGCTTGCACGGCGTCGCTCTGGACAATCGCTACAATGACGACCTGGACTTTTCCAAGAAGAAGGGTTTCTTCGCTTTCCTCTGTGCAGCTCGATGCCTGGTTCCAGGAGGAGAGTTCTGGTGGGGTATCGAATGCAAGACCTGGGTATGGGTGAACAGAGTTACCCATGGCAGGAGCAAGGAGAACCCTTTGGGAAAAGAAGATGAGGCAGCAGTGATTGCGGCCAACAACGTGTCCAAGCACTTTGTCTTCGTGGCGCTGATTCTCTACTGGGGCCGCCGTCTCTACACAGTGGAGCAGCCAAAAAGCTCGTTGCTGAACTACGTGGACATCGTCCAGACTCTCTTCGGCGTGCACAGCGTCACGACGGTGAACTGCGACCGCGGCTACTTCGACGATCCTGATTCCGCGGTCAAGCCGTTGAAGCTCATGGGGGCGGCGCCCTTCGTGTCTCTCATGCGCGCTACAGTGCCCTTTGCCGATCGGACCCACAGGGCAAAGCTCACGACCGAGAAGAGGGGCAAGGCTGCCGACGGCAGCGTCATCGTGAAGACTCACGGGGTCAAGGAGTTGATGAGCGACAGCGAGCACTACTGCGTGGCCTTCGCGGAGGCTGTGGCAGCACACTACAAATCGTGGCTTTCTGAGGGCTTCCACCATCAGCCGATGGCTATGCCCCCAATGGGTTCAAGAGGCGAGCCCTGAGGAGCAGGAGCATGCTCGACACCTCTTCACTTCCCAAGTCTGTGCAGTGAGGCTGCGCGCTATTGTTTGCTTGCGCAAGATTTGGAGACCTCGTCGGCCCCGCCGCTGAGCGCTACAATGGGGTCCTTCGCCTAGCTAGCTGCTGCGTCAAAAAAACATAGTCCTCACTCATTGGTCAACCTTGATTCGTCCTGTGCTGCCCCCCCTCTGTCTACTGCTCGATACCTCCTCCTCCCCCTCCTCCGCCAATTTGAAAACAGCATTGCAAATTGCTCGGCCACCTCCTCCTGACACTGATCCTTCGTCTCCTCCCCCTCCTCCTCCTCCTCCTCCTCCGACGGTTTCTGATGTCTTGATTGCAATGCGTCGTGGTCGTTATTGCCATCGCCAGCCAGCCGATGAACGTGTGCAGACAAGAAGGCCCATCTGCGCCCGCGCTCGCAGGCCAGCGGCCAGCTCCTGCGGCCCTTGCCCGCCGGCTGCGGGCCGCGGGGCTCCAGCGCCGCGATGGCTTGCTCTGCGGGTGCGCCATGCCGCGCTGCTGAGAAGCCTGTCATGCACTGCATGAAGTGCAAGAAGGAGGCCAACGTCACCAACTCCATCCCGTCTGGCTCGAAAACAGCTGATTCGAGGATCCACGACGCGTGCAAGCAAGTCGCCAAAGGTGTTTCGGACAGGGTCAAAAAGGACAAGAAGTTCAAGCTTTGGTGGGACAAAGCATCAGACAATGAGAAAGCAGAGTATTTCGATCGGCAGCGCAGGCGCAGGCAGCCCGGCAGAGGCCAGATCGAGAACTGCCACAATAAGGAGGAGGGCACTGAGGATCGCGAGCGCTTCCTCTGGCAGCCGTTCGAGGACTTCGAAACCTTGAAGCTGATCCGAGGATGGACGAGCCAGGAGATCAAGGATGAGTGGTCCAGGTTGGTCAACGACCCTGCTGCGGGCGCCGCGAAGATGCACGGCGAGTGGTGTATCCCGAAGTTCGGCGGCGGCATCACCGACCTTGTCAAGAGGGACATGACTGGCACGAACAGCAAGCGGAGCGCCCATGCTGCTGATGCTGATGCGGCTTCTCAACTTCTTGCTGAAGCGGCAGAGGTCCAGCGCTTGGCGATGGCGGAACACCAGCGCGTCTTGGAAGCCGAGGTCGGTACCGTGACGAACGGAGGGAGGCACAACACCATGGACACCGAGGTCGCTACTCGCATGGTGCCTGAACTAGCTCAGCCACTCCAGCGCGAGATGACGAGCCAGCTGAAGAGGAGGGTGCAGATCGAGGAGGACGCAATTCGCGACCTCGAAGGCCTTGGAGGAGCTACTGATGATGCTACGGAGGAGACGCAGGGCTGTTTGAAGAAGCCGAAGAAGGAGGCCAGCCTCGATGCCCAGCGCGTCACCCTGTGGAATTGGATGCAGTCGAGAAAGGTGGCCTTGGGCAGCTACAAGAGCAACTTCGGCGTGAGCAAGGACGACGCCACGAGGGAGCTCAACGATGTCGTCAAGAAGGACCTCGGCAGCGACGAGCTGGGCACCAAGGCGAAGGGATCCGAGGCCATGGTCTCTGCGTACGATCGAATTACCACACTCATTGATGACTTCATCAGAACCTGGCTTACCGATCGTGGGCCCTTGGATGCCATGACGCCAGAGCAGTTGGACCAGCGCAAGAAGGAGGTGACGACCGAGGAGGCCGAGTTGCGCAAGACTCGCTGTATCCAGGATTTCAAGGGCGCTCTCGGCATCAGCGTGAAGTGTGTCAAGGACTACAAGAAGAAGCTTAACAAGCAGGGCAGTGCCGACGGCCCCAAGGGTGAGGTAGCGAACGATCCGCAGTGTGCGAAGTCTTTATCCCAGGTCGTTGAGATTCTTGGCGACCAGTTCCATCATGGAGTAAGCAACGCGCCAACGGACATCTGGAAGAACAAGGTCGCGCTGCTCAACAGGGCAACGGTCAAGACGATGACCGACGACATGATGAAGTCGGAACCGTTCAAGAAGCAGTTCCAGTGGATCGAGAAGCGCAGGAAGAAGGACAAGTCCAACGCGCTCGCCTGCCCCGTGGCGAAGGGACCCATGGCTACGAACATATCCAAGCTGAAGAAGGAGGAGCTGCCGGAGTCATTCATCACATGCTTGCCGCTCGCCGGCGCGGCGAAGGAGTGGGCCAGGCGCTGTGCGACGACGAGCTGTGCGCCACCATCGAGGGGGTCTCGTCAGTGAGCCTGGTACCCTACGGCATCGTGGACGTGATCGTGGCACTTGCTGGCACGTGCCAGTTTTTTTTTGGCCCCAGTGGAGGGCACGCCTGGCCACAACATCCCAGAGAAGGTCAGCTTCCTGGAGAAGGGGTCACCAGATGATCTTCAGAGGCTCCGCACTTCGCACGGGTTCGCCTGCGTCATGATGCGGCCTGGAGATGTGCTAGCCATCCCAGCGAACTACTTCGAGCTCACGCATGTCCCCTTGGGTGTTGGTGGAGACCACGGTGGAGATTTCTACTTCCTTCGTTGGGGCGCGAGTCCAGAGACGATCAACGACCCAAACTACACGGCGGTCTGGGACAAGATCAAGAGTGGAGTGAAAAACATGTTGGAGTCGTATCCTAGCCTGGCCAAGGACAACCCACCGTATATGCATGTCGCCAAGATGCTTGAGGATAATGCGTGGAATGGTCTTCACTTCTTCTGGGCGGCCCGGGCGGCATCAGTGCCGAGAGCCAGGCCGCACCGTTCGCAACAAGATGAACGCGTGCTGAGCTGGCCACCTCACGTTCAGAGCAGGGGTGTGCGTTATTCTTGGCGAGGGGTTCGCGTAGCAAGACTTTGCGCTGCGAGGCGGAGTGCGCAGCGCCAACGCCCGAGAGTGAAACATTCGAACACATATCCACGCGAATTGTTGGCACTGCAGACGTTACCATTGAAAGCATGATGGTTTTTTATTCTTCGATGGCTTTGCCGATTCCGCCATCTGCAAAATCGCCAAGGCTACGCCAGCAATGTCCTCCTTCTCCTCCTCCTCCTCCTCCTCCTCCACCGCCGACCCCCCAACTCATGATCAAGCTCACGCGCACTCAGACTCATCTGTGCTCGGACCCACTCGCAATCAGAGTCAATCGTGTTCAGACCCACTCACACTCAGACTTATTAGCGCTCAGACCCACTCACATTCAGACCCACTCGCCGTCCGACTTTAATGCGCTCAAGCTCGTACGCATTCATGCTCACACGCACTCAAACCCAATTACACGAATCATGTGGATCGAAACTCAGACTCTCCCACACTCAGAGGGACGAACTATGCCATCTCAGAACTTATGCTCTGATGCCACATGTTTCTCACCATCCGCAATTCCTCCGTCTTCCTCCTCTCTCTCGGCCCCAATCATTCTTGAGGTTATTAGGTTTGCTTCACCACCTAGCTTCGGATGTCGGGGAAACCGCTGCCTAGTCCAATGCGTCTCGATGCCCCTTTCATCAACCACTTAGGTTGCGTACGGCGCGGCGCGATCCCTCCCGTACTGCACAACATGATAATTCAGCTGTCCTGGCCGATGTTGCGTCGCGACGGGGAGCGAAAAATAATGCGAAACCCACCATAAACCAATGTCGCGATCACGCGGGGGCGGTTCGCTTAAATACGTTGCATTATACGTTTTAACGGTGGCATTGCGTGTTCGATGGGTGTGGGTCGTTACCACACAGGCCTCATGGCCTCAAGTTCGAGAACGATTTGTCGTCGCGAACTGAACTCCTAGGTATGTAGCCTCCCTGACGTCGTCGTCGCACCCCTCGAACGTCCCCAGGGGGGGGGGAACAACACAGTGTGCACACCCCAACACTCGCACACTCATCGCCGATAGGGGCCCGATGGCCCACCCCGTGCAGGAACGTGTGCTTTCGCCAACACTATCGGCGATGTGTCGCCGATTCGCCGACCCCGATTCGATGTATCGCCGCTGTGGGCTTATGGCAGATTTTTCCGCGATGTATCGCCGAGTTCAATTCGAGGTTTCCCCCCCCCCCCCCCCCCGGGCAGGTCCCCCCGATCGTTATCTTGAACCTCCTCCCTGGCTACGAGCAAGAGTAACCCTTCACCGGAGTGACCACTGGTGCGGGCCCACAGGGGTTCCCCCAGGCACCAGCTTGCGCCCTGATGTTTGGCCTCTCCGCGGCCCCCTCGGGCCGCGCACGAAAGGCCATTGTTGCGTAGTGTCTCTCCTGTGAGTCTCCGTGTCCTTCCTTCCTCCTCCTCCCCCTCCTTCTCCCTCCTTCCCCGTTCCCGCCACAGCCTATTCAAGACTGGAGTGTTCACTTGGACCTAGCGACCAGCTCGCCCCATGCAGACATGCACCGTGCTGCTGGGCCGCAAAGGCATTCGCTTGCACCAGGCATCCGCGGCTGCTGTGTGGCTACCATGTCCTATATGACAGATGCTCCCACACTTTCTTGCCTCGGCGCGTTTGATGCGGCGCAGCAGCAGTACCTACTACGCACGACGCACTTTACCTCATCATCCACCTGCAGTCCCAGTCAACGGGGGTGTGCCCCGATAGAAGGTTTTTAGCTCGAGCTCCTCCCTGCTCTTTGCTCCCTGCTCATTGCTTCTTGCTTCCTCCTCCCCTTTGGCTCGTCCGCCTGATGAGGAGGAAGAGGAGGAGGAGGAGGAGGAGGAGGAGGAGGAGGAGGAGGAGGAGGGCGGAGGCGGCGGACGAGGAGCAAGGACGGATAGTTGTGGTAATGATGACGACGATGGTGATGTGGTGGTCTCGGTGATGTCGACGACGATGACACGGTGGTCTGCGGCCGCCATGTCGTCGCGCGTGCCAGCGGCCCGCGGGTTTGTGCAAGCGGCCTGGCTCGCGAGGTTGCCCCAGCGGCTTCGCGATCTGGCCGTCGGAGAACGCGCCCGTGCCGACCGAAGCGGCGACGGCGCCGAGGAAAATCCATGTGCGCGCCCTTGCAACAGGAGTGGGCGAGGGGGGGGGGGAGGCAGGAGGGCGAAGATGAGGCAAAGCAGGGGGCAGGAGGAGGGTCTGCGCCAGGGGTGTGTGTGTGTGACGCAGAGGGGACAGGAAGGGAGCCACCGCAATCACAGCACTTCCATACTTACCGAGGGGATGATCATGCGGGGTCTTAGTGCGAGGTGCGCTCGCGCGCTGGGCGTCGAGCGGGTCGCGGCGGTGTCGGTGGGCTGGGCGCTGGCAAGTGGGCTCCGTGACAGGGCACAGGCCGACAGGCGAACATAAGGAGGGGAATCGAGGGCGCGCAGTTTGTGGACGCTTTGGTGCGTTCGGGGCCTTCGTCGGGAGGGATGACGGGCATCACTGGCGCGCTGCCGCTGGGGGCCCAGTCGGCGTGTTGCTCCCTCGTTTTTTTTTTTTTTTTTTTTTTTTTTTTTTTTTTTTTTTTTTTTTTTTTTTTTTTTTTTTTTTTTTTTTTTTTTTTTTTCTCAGACGACATGGCTTTCCGTTAGCTTTGACATTCTGATGGGTTCCCTACGGCGGCGTGTCATCGATATGATTCTTGCCCCCACTCCAGATGCTTCGGGCGACCTCCCCAGGCAACTGGGGACCTTTGGGGGCCTCCGGGGACATTTGCACACCTCCCGGGGGTTCGTCCGGAGAAACGTGGAGGAGATCCACACAGGCAGGCGGGTCGCGGGGAGGAGGCCAGGGGTGGCACGACAAGGGGAAGTGTATGGCCAGAAATCGTTCAAGCCGGAGACGAGGACGCGGCGCCGCCTGCGCTGCCCTCTCATCCACCATGCGCCTGGGGGCAGCGAGGGCTCCAAGACCGCTCGAAGACGATACCCTTACGATGCGAGGCCATAGGGTCAGCGGGAACGCGCAAGCGGGCAGCATCGAAGGCGTGCCAGCAGCACGGCGGTCCCCAGCCTGCGCCCCCCTCGCCGCGCCCCGCGCCGCTGACAGCGCCCGCGGGCCGAGAGGCGCTCCCGAGTTTGAGTTCCGCGCCTTCCTGTCCCAGGTCGGCAGGCAGCCCACCGGCATTAACGAGGCCCCCGCCGCTGCTTAGCGGGCACGGGCTTGCGGAGTTGACAGAGTCGGGCGGAGGGGCAGGGGGAGGGGGAGGGGGGCAACTTGACCGCCTGCGTGGCCATTTTGGGTCAAGCGCGGAAACACATTCCACAAGCACCATGCCGGGGACGCCGTGGGCCAGGACACCCCTGGTACCGCCGGGCCCCTCGTCGAGAACCAGCAGGCCACAGGCACAGCCCTTCTGGGAGCCCACGCGGGTCTCTTGGGCGGGCGCCGGACCCCTCCCCCTTTCCCCCCCCCTGTCTTGGCGTGCGAGTCGAGCCAGTGGCGGCGAAGGGGCGCCGCCGGCTCCGACCGAAGCAGTCTGTGCGGACTTCCGGAAGTCTTGCTCGTGAAGCTGGCTGGTTCTTTTTCGTTTTTGTCCTCCCCTTGCTTTTTCGATTTCGGATGCGCGTGCTCCCAGGGTTGGGTCTTCTTCTTCTTCTTCTTCTTCTTATTCTTTTTCTTCTTCTTCTTCTTCCTGCTGCTCCTGTGCAGTGCCCCTCCTGCTGCTGCTTCTTCTCCCTCCTCCCCGTTCCTCCTCCTCCCTTCCCTTCCTTTTCCGCCCTCCGTATCCCCCCTCCTCTTCCGCGTTCGCCTTCTCCCGCTCCTCCTCATCCTGCCCCAGACTTTGGCATCCTGTTTGTTATGTTGCAATCCCTTGTTCTCTGGCGTTCGGCTTGCGAGGACGCCTGGTCCAGAAGCAGGTTCCAACATGCTACTGCTGTGAAATACAATCGTAGCACGGCTTGAGTGTGCGTACAAGCCTCGTCTGCTGCTAGCGACTGCTGTTTGCAGCCTCGGCTCAGGCAGATTGGGATGGGACACCTCAGAGTAAGAATCAGCACAAGAGGGACGAGATAGCGATGGGCTACAGGAGGAGGTTTTCGACTGCAATTGATCTGATAGAGCTGCAAGCACAAGCTCCACCATACACTTTCGAACGGGTCGAAATCAGCCTGTTCGGACCAGCTCATCTTGCACGAATGGAGCAGTCGCCTTTCAATTCAAGGCAACGTGTCCGATTGGTGAGACAGCGTTATGCGTTCAAAGGTTTCGCTCGCACATTGAAGCGAGAAGTCAAGACGACTGGTTTATATCTCGATTCCTCTTGCTTCGCTGGGTGCACGTCCGGAGCACGTAAAGACGGGGCGTTGGGTGGTTTGCCCTGCTGGTCTGCCGCGTTGGTCTGCCGTCTCGTTCTGCCCGCCAGGGCGCGTCGCCAGCGCCACGGGGGCGGATGCGCCCTCCTCGTTTCAGCGCCGGGAGGAGCGTGCGAATGTCCACGAATGCACAGGTCATTCAACACTTGTCAGCACAAGGCAACGCGTAGCAACGATGAGCATAGCAACAACGCGCCATTCGTATACAATGACGCGGGCCTCTAGGTGGTTTCTTGGGGTCTTTTGGGGGCCGCTTGGGGGCTTCTCTGGGCCTCTTAAGGGGTTCTTTGGGGCCTCTTGGGGCGCTCTTGCGCCGTCTGGCCCCTTCGGAGGCTGTCGGGGGGGCCTCTCGGGGCCGCCTTGGGGCTCTCTTGGAGTCCACTTGGGCCGTCTTGGGGAGTCTTGGGGGCCTCTTTGGGCAATCTTGGTGATCTTGGGGCCCTCCTGGACCGTCTTGGAGCCCTCTTGGAGGCGTATGGGGCTTTCTCGGGGCCATCTTTGAGGCTGCTGGGGCCCCCGAGAGTTGAAAAAGGGGAGGCCGCTAAAATCGTTAGGCCTCCAGACGCCCTCTTGGCTTGGGGCCATCTTGGGCCGTCGTGGGGGTCTCTTGGGCCCTCTGGGCCATCTTGGGCCGTCTTGGGGCCGTCTTGGGCCATCTTGGGGCCATTTTGGGCCATCTTGAGGCAATCTTGAGCCGTCTTGAGGCCCTCTTGGGCCTCGAAGAGGGCAAGACGGCCCACACTTTGATTTTCCATAGGCTCGGGTATTCCCAGGCCACCCTGCTTCCAACCGCGGCCTCCCTGAACGACCGGGTCACGATTTGGAATGCTTCGGGGGGCGTCTTGGGGCCATCTTGGGCCGTCATGGGGCTCTCTTCGGGCCATCTGGGGCCCTGTTGGGCCGTCTTGGTGTTCCTCTTGGACTGCCTGGTAGCCCACTTGGTTGAATTTAGGGCGATTCTCTGGCCTCCTGGGTGGTGTCGGACGCCCAGAAGGCCGAAGAACAGAGCATTACCCATCATGTAAAACCATAAAACATCAATGTTTTCGTGCGTTTCGAATGTCTCTGGGGTTCTTCTTTGGGTCGTCTTCGGACGTCTGGTGGGTGTCTGGGGCCTCTGGGCTCTCGCGGGTCCGTTCGGCCGCCCTCCTGACCTATTTGGATCCGTCGCCTTGGCCCAGCAGGGGCTGCAGGAGCCCCGGAAAACACAGGGGACCGTCTGCAAGGGCGTCCAGGGTGCCCCCGGGGCCAAGGATCTGGGGGGGTTCCGGTAAGGGGGGGGGATCGCAGGATCCCAGATTATTAATTTGTATAAAGGAATTACATGTGTATATGTACACAGGTATGCATACAAAGAGAGAGGGATACTATGGAAGAGAGCGAGAGATATGGAGAGAGAGGGAACGAGAGAGAGAGAGAGAGAGAGAAAAGAGAGAGAGAGAGAGAAGTGAGTAAGTTCAAGAGCTTGACATAGTGAGAGATACTGATATACTATAGGGATCATGTAATAAACTTTGTACTCAGAGGGTAAATACGTATACGTATGTGCCCGCGCATGTACTTACCACAAATGTATTCACAGGTTGCATGTATGTCGTTGTAAAGAGTGAGGGAGGTCGAGAGAGAGAGGGACATGTAGATGTACCGTCAGGGTTTCACACATACATCTACATATGTACTGTGTTAGGCTCAACTATATATTTTCCCGTTCTGGAGTTAGTCATCTGACCAAACATGTACGTAGATACTGTTGTATACAGTATACAGGCAAATGCATGCGCACCTATGCATTCACATCTGCTTACTCGAATACATATCACACCGTATGGTTAGATACACACTCAAACGTACGTGCTAATGCACGGATGTGTGAATCTATTTGTGCATCCAGCAACGGAAGAGACCGGTCTACACATATGTATATGTACATTTGTATACACATGTACATGTGTACCCATAGGAAACACGCGAACGCATACACATGCACATACATGTAATGACATCTGTATGCGTATATATATATATGTATATATACATATTCGTATTCCTTATTGTATACTGTACTTGTATGCGTACATATCTGTACACATGTATACATTGAACGCATGGAGAGATAGGGAGGGGCCCATACGTATATATATATATATATATATGTACACGGATATGTACATGCATACATGTTCATGTACAAATATGCATGCATCTATGTAGAAAGAGAGAGTGAGGGTGAGAGAGGGAACGCGGCCAATACATCTCATTTTACATGGGCATGAATGAGTATATTATACACACCTGTATGTGGATACCTTTTACATTTATGTACATTGTTAAGTCATATATATATATATATATATATATATATATATAGAACGAGAGAGAGCGAGAGCAAGTGATAAAGAGAGCGAGAGAGAGAGAGAGAGAGAGAGATAGAGACACGGAGAGAAAGATAAACATAATATATAGATATATATATATATATATATATATATAATATATATATATATATATATATATGTTGCCATGTCATATGATTCCAGCGAAACAAAAATATGGGGAGAGAGAAAGAGAGAGAGAGAGAGAGAGAGAGAGAGAGAGGCAAACAGAGAGATGAGAGGGAAAGAGAGAAAGAGAGAGAGAGAGAGAGAGGGAGAGACCCAGAACCAGGAACCAGGAACCGCGAACTCGGGGCGATCCGGGCACCCCTGGGGTGCTCTCGGTGAGGCGCAGCTGCTGGAAGGCACCCCGTGGATGGCAGACCGCCGCGAGCGAACGAAAGCACCCGCACCACACCTCACGCCTGGAGACCTTCTTCCCCAAGAGGGCCGAAAGTGACCGGGAACCTCCCGTCGTGAGTTTTTTCGAGACGCGATGGGATGTCTCGGGGTTCGCCCAGCCCAGGCTCCGCCCGTGCGCCGCGGTCGCGACGCTGCCGCCTCGTGGCGCCTCGCTCGGGGGATCTCCGCGCCGGCAGCGGCGGCCCGCGCCGTGTGCGCCGGTCAGGGGCGACGCGCCGACACGGGGCGGGGGGATGATGCATTGACCCCGAGTTTCGGCGATGCGGCGCGATCCTCCGACCCAGTCTACCCCATCTAGGAGGCCTCTACAATCGCCCCCAATCACCCATTGATCGCTGGTAGGGGTATGATGGCCCACCCCGCCCAGGAGCGCGCGGGTTCGCTATCGGGGGCCTACCGCCGATCTATCGGCGATGTATCGCTGTTTCCAGCTCCATGTGTCCCCCCCTGCGCCAGTTCCTGCGTCCTGGCCCCTCAGCGTGCGCCAGGCGGGGGACCTGGCGGCTGCCCCGTTCGGCGCGTGCCACGCGTACATCAAGGCGCGCCGCCGCGCGGGCTGATCCCGCGCGGAGGGTCTCGGGGTCCCATCTCTAAGGGGGGGCCTCGAGTTCTGAGGCGTGAGGAGGAGGGAGGAGGAGGGAGGAGGAGGGAGGAGGAGGGAGGAGGAGGAGGAGGAGGAGGAGGAGGAGGGAGGAGGAGGAGGAGATGATGATGATGATTGATGATGATGATGATGATGATGATGATGATGATGATGATGATGAGATGATGATGATATGATGATGATGATGATGATGATGATGATGATGATGGAGAGGAGGAGGAGGAGGAGGAGGAGGAGGAGGAGGAGGAAGAGGAGCGGGACCATCCAAGCTCTGGGCCTGGTGAAGGGTGCTCTTGGAGGCCGTGGGGACCCTGGGGGACCCTGGGGGATCCAGGCCTCCCAAATGGGGTCAGAGCAGATGTCATGGCGCCAGAACGGATTTCGTTAGGAAAACAATGAGATGGGCCCAGGTTGTCTTAGAGAAGTTCGGTCCGGATTTCGAAGTGAATTTCGGCCCGATTTGTTTGTCAGGGATGGAGACTACAACAAATCCACTTGGACGTTCACTTCGTTTTCGCTTGCCGTTTCGGGGGTTCTGCGTTGAAAGAAGTCCACTCAAAAATCCGCTGCAGCACGTCTGCAAGGTTGGTGCAGTGAAAAGAGCGTCTAACCCTCATAGCACGACGAAGACATGGCCTCGCTGAGGTCACCGCCTTCGCATTAGGGGTAAAACTGTTGGGCGGTCTGGTTTGAGACATCTGCAGCAAGAAGGCCCCCTATCCCTGGGTACCAGGGATTTCAAAACAAGCTATGGCCCTGGGCCCACAGGGGAAGTAACAACATGTCGAAGTCATGCAACCACATTCGTTGTGCAGACATTTTAACACGCACGCCTCACAACCTATTGGTTTGTCAATCGCGCAGATTGGAGATTGCCTGCCCGCCCAGAGCCCGGGTTCTCATCTCACCACGTGGTGCATCCGCGTTGATCTAGCATGCGCCCAGTGAGCGAAACCGTATCACATCATACCATGAGGGCCACATGCGCGCGCAGCCACGCGTGCGTGTCGAACTCCTCCCAATGCCATTCATTTTCGAAGTGTGTCAAGATAGATACTCCAAGCAACATAGGATAACGAATCGTTTTTCTTCCACGACGCACTTGCCAGAGTTCTTGAGTTTCTGCGCACGCGCACTTCCAATCACCCTCATCAGCGCTATCGTGTCATCGCCGTTGTCGTCATTGTCAATCGCCACCATTGCCGCCATCATCGTCGCAAGCACCCCCAGCACCGACGCATGGACATCATCATCGTCATCGTCGTTGCCAGCATCGACACCGTCATTGACCTTGCCGTCGTTATCGTCATCATCGCTACCACCATATCTAGTATCACAATTGTTGCCGCCGTTGTTGGCTTTAGTCACCATCTGCACTGAAGTGCTCCCGTGCCCGTGCGGCCTTTGGGTCGCGCTGGAAAGATTCCATCGGTTAGCAGGCGCTGGCGCGGCCGCATCAGATGTGCCAAACCATCTGGTCGTTCTGCGCGCGAGCGCGCGCGCGCCCCCGCACCAGCGCTGCCGCACAGACGCGATGGCAAGCTCCAATCCCGAGCCGTAATCGTGACCGCACGGGTTTTACCAAACAAGTTACGGGTGTGTGGGTGGGCTGTTTGCACGAGCAGCGGAGATGTAGATTCCAAGGCCTGTCCCTCTACAGGAGTAATCTTCAAATTGGTCAAAAAGTAGTCAGGGGACGATGCTTTGGGTATTCTTTGACTATTTTTGAATATGTTTGGGGTATCTCTTATTTGTCGTCCAAAATCCGCCTGTAGGGGGGGGGACATACCCGACCTAATGCTACCGTAAGGTAGTGGCGAGCTCAAGCTCTCGCGACCTGAAAGAGCACCACGCCTTTCGTTGTGAATGACGCGCGAGGCCCTCGTTGCTCGGACGGCGCCCGTGCTCCGATCGCGAGGAGCCGCCGTTGGACGGTCCGCGCTGCGCTGCGTCCACTGTGCGGGGGCTGGTCGGCGGTCTGCATGCCCTCACCCCTCATCCCCTCTCCCTCCTCCTCCTCCTCCTCCTTCCTTCTCCTCTTCCCTTCTCCCTCTCCTCCCTCCTCCCTTCCTCCTCCTGGTGCGGGAACTCATCCTGGACACCATGTCGCACGGCAGCGTCAACGCGACCGCCGATTCCACAGGGGTGCCAGTTGCAGCGATGCAACCGCTCAAGCAGAAGCTACGGGGGCCAAGGATTCTAGTTCGCCGTGGCATCACAGGGCACTTGCGAGCACTGATCGCTGAGCAGTACCGCGCCTCCTGGTTTGTCTGCGAGGGCTTGGACCACGTCGGCCTAGGCACGAAGTCGTCCATTCCAGGGCAGCCGCTGGCGGACCAGATCTACGAAGTAGCCATGGGGGAGATCATGCACGTCGTCGAGGCCAGGCTCGGCCAACATGGGCTAGGGCTCTGCATCCCTGGGGCAGAGGCGCGCTCGATCGCCAGCCAGCTCGAGGACGACGACTCCTGGACCGACATCCCGGCCCACAGCATCGCGTTCGCGGACGACGGTACCTACTTCTACTTGGGCAGAGCAGAGGACGCGGTGGCCGCACTCGAGCTGGTGGGAGGGGTCGTCCTCGACGCCTTCGCAGAGTAAGGCCTCCATCTCAACCTGGATGCAGGCAAGTCAGAGGCCCTCTTGGCCTTCGCAGGGAGAGGCTCTGAGGAGTCCAAGCGTAGGCTGTGGCACGATCAGCGAGACCAGCTCCAGCTCGTCTCCAGATACTTCGAGCGCCCCAACGTGAGCGTCGTCACCGCGCACGTGAAGGGTGTCCAGAGGTGAACGGTCTCAGGGATTTTTTTTCGTGGGGTCGGTTCAGGAGGAAGGGGAGGGCCAAGAGTGGGCCCCGATCTTCAGTCGGCGAACCAGGAGGTCTCGGCCCGATCCTGAGCGTCATCGGTTCCGTCGGTCCGAGGTCCGCTCCGTGGCCAAGCCGTGCCCCCCCTCCAAGGAGCCCGACAGCAGGGGCCCCTGTCCGACCTCCGACCCCTTTGAAGACCTCACCCAAGAGGGCATCTTCGCTGCCCCTGTAGGCCTCGAGTCCCCCTCGTCCCCTGTCTCCGTGCCTCCGCCTCCTCTCCCTGCCCCTCCCGCACCCCTGACCGAGCAGCGGCGCGAGCGAATTGCGAGGAACCCAGACGAAGCGATCCGGAGGAGGAACCGAGACGGTTCAACTTCTAATCTTCGGGGGCCCCTTCATAAGATGAGGGCGCTCTCTGCCTCGACGCAGGGGTGCGTCGCGGTTTGACCCACGGCATACGCAGCTGCGTTCAAGCTTGTGCCCACCATCACCTTCCTCCCTCCCTTCTCCCTCTCTTCCCCCTCTCCCTCTCCCTCCTCCCTTCTTCTCCTCCCTTCTTCTCCTCCCTTCTCCTCCTCCCTTCTCCTCCTCCCTTCTCCCTCCGGCCTTCGCCCCTCCTCCCCTCTCCCTCCTCCCCTCTCCCTCCTCCCTTCTCCCTTCAGGTCGTATCTCTCCAGCTGCGGCAGGAGCAGAGTCCAAGCTTCAGCCGGGCCACTTCCGATTCCGATGCCTTGCCGCTCCAGCTCCCACCATGCCGAATCCAGACGAAGTCAGCCAACGTTTTGCCACGATTCTCTTCTGGGCCCTGGCCCGCCCGCGCTGCCCTTGCAGGGCTGGCCCGTCGGACCGACGGAGCGCGCCCCGCTCCGGTCCGCTTCTCCCCTCCTCCCTCCTCCGCGTGTGCTCGATCTTTATCCCTCTCTACTCGATCTCGCGCTCCAGTCTCTTTCATCGATGTCGCGCTCGATCTCGCGCTCCCCTCTCTATCCCTCCTCCCTCTTCACTCGATCTCGCGTTCCGCTCCACTCCGCTCCTCTCTCTTGGCTCGATCTCTATCTCGCCGCTGTCGCCGCCGCGGTGGCCGCGGCCATGGCCTTGGTCGTGGCGGTCGTCGTCCTGGCTTGCACGTCCGTGGCGCCGTCGTCGGCGTCGTCGGCGCCGGCGTCGTCGCCGGCGGGCCGCATCCCCCCCCGCAGGGCTCCGTCAGGCTCGACCGGCCGCTCGCGCAGCTGATGCCCCGCGGCATCCCGCCGCTGCCAGAGGCCCCCGCGCCGCATCTCTGGCGGCGAAGGGCAGAGATCTCGGCGACACCCCAACGTACAGTGGAGGTCCATGCCAAGAAACACCCTGCTTGCCTCCCGAGTGCCCTGGGTTTCTTGGGTTTCTATGGTCCTGCCATGGGAAGCGCGACGTTCCCATACCAAAAATCAATGGGCGTCCTGGGGTACCACGGTTGGGTTTCTTGTAGAAGATCTCTTGTGGTCGGGCCCCTACTGTACTGATGCTATGTGCGAGTCGCCCCCCGAAGGGCGACGCGCGCCGAGAAGCCTTTGTGGCATGTCTGCCGGCGGGGACCCCGAGCAGTGTGTGGTTCTGAAATTATAGGTTGTGCGGTGCATGCGGTGCACTTTATGTGGTGCAATCTATATGTGGTGCAATTTTCGTTGTGCACCCTATGTTCTGCACTATATATATATGTTTATATGTATATATGTGTATATATATGTATATGTGTAAGTAAATACATAATTACATATATATTTAATATCTTTACACATATATACATATGTATACACATCTGTACACATATATATATATATATATATATACATATATGTGTATATATATATATATATATTTGTATGTATAGATCTATCTGACGGGGGGGGGGCAACATCGATGCCGTCATCCCCCATGGCCCCCCCCCGAACCTTCGGGGGGTCACAGACCCCCTGGGACTTGCCCACGACAGGCCACGCGGGCCGTACAGATGGTCTAGAAAGCTTGAAGAGGCGCCGAAGACGCCCAAGAGCGCCCCAACGTGCGTTTTCGGCATGCTCGCTCTTCGTCTTCACAGTTCCCGGAACGTGATTTCCGGGTTCCGAGGACGCCCAAGAGGCCCACAAGACAGCATCAGCGAGGCCCCAGAGGGCCCGAGAGGGCTTGGAGTTGGCCTCCAAGAGGCAAACATCGGTCCATTTCCCATCGTAAAACGTACATTTTCAGCATACTCGATGGCTTCGTCTTCGCAGTGCCCCAGACGCCCCCGAGGAGCCCCAAGACAGCCCAAGAGAGACCCAAGAGGGCCCAAGACGGCCCAAAAGGGTCGTTTTGTGGGGCTCACGGAACCCCCCGAGACGGCCCAAGAGGCCCCAAAGCCGGCCCAGGAGGCCCCCAAGACGGCCTCAGGGAGGCCCAAGAGGGCCTCGTTCGAAATCATGTTCCCCGAAGCCGCTCCAGGAACATGATTTCCGGGTTCCCAGGACGCCCGAGATGCCCACAAGACAGCCTCAGCGAGGCCCCAGAGGGCCCGGCTAGAAGATGGCCGAAGAGGGCCCCGAGAGGGCCTCCAAGAGGAGAAACATCTGCCCATTTTCCATCGTAAAACGTACATTTTCGGCATACTCGCTGGCTTCGTCTTCGCAGTGCCCCAGACGCCCCCGAGGAGCCCCAAGACAGCCCAAGAGAGACCCAAGAGGGCCCCAGACGGCCCAAAAGGGTCGTCCTGTGGGGCTCACGGAACCCCCCCGAGACGGCCCAAGAGGCCCCGAAGCCGGCCCAGGAGGCCCCCAAGACGGCCTCAGGGAGGCCCAAGAGGGCCCCGTTCGAAATCATGTTCCCCGAAGCCGCTCCAGGAACATGATTTCCGGGTTCCCAGGGCCCCCTAGAGGGCGCCAGGACAGCCTCAGCGAGGCCCCAGAGGACCCGAGATGGCTTGAAGATGGCCGAAGAGGACCCCAAGAGGACCTTCAAGAGGCAACAACAATCGGCCCATTCCCTTCGTAAACGTACATTTTCAGCATACTCGCTGGCTTCGTCTTCACAGTGCCCCAGACGCCCCCGCGGAGCCCCACGACAGCCCAAGAGAGACCCAAGAGGGCCCAAAACGGCCCAAAAGGGTCGGCCTGTGGGGCTCACGGAACCCCCCCGAGACGGCCCAAGAGGCCCCGAAGCCGGCCCAGGAGGCCCCCAAGACGGCCTCAGGGAGGCCCAAGAGGGCCCCGTTCGAAATCATGTTCCCGGAAGCCTCTCTGGGAACATGATTTCCGGGTTCCCAGGGCCCCCTAGAGGGCGTCAGGACAACCTCAGCGAGGCCCAGGGGGGCCCGAGATGGCTTGAACATGGCCGAAGAGGGCCCCACGAGGGCCTTCAAGAGGCAAAGATCAGCCCGTCCCCGAAGTAACACGTACATTTTCAGCATACTCCGTTGCTTCGTCTTCGCAGTGCCCCAGACGCCCCCGAGGAGCCCCAAGACAGCCCGAGAGAGACCCAAGAGGGCCCAAGACGGCCCAAAAGGGTCGTTTTGTGGGGCTGACGGAACCCCCCAAGACGGCCCAAGAGGCCCCAAAGCCGGCCCAGGAGGCCCCCAAGACGGCCTCAGGGAGGCCCAAAAGGCCCTCGTTCGAAATCATGTTCCTGGAAGCCATTCCGGGAACATGATTTCCGGGTTCCCCAACTGCCCAAAGACAGCCCCCAGAGGCCCCGGACATGCCGAAGATGGCCTCAGGACGGCCGACGACGCAGCCAAAACGCCCCAAGAGCGCCTCCAGAGGCCCCTCCAAAGAGTCCCAGAAGCCGAAAATCATGCATTTTCCGACGACGACGCCGACGACGACGACGACGACGGCGCCGACGACGACGAAGAGGACGACGACGACGTCGCCAACGAAGACGACGACGAGGAATGAGGGAGGACGACCACGGCGACAACGACGATAACGACGAGGGAGGAGGGAGGTCGGCGACGACGCGAACGACGAAGAAGGAGGGAGGACGGCGACGCCGACGACGACGACGAGGTAGGAGGGAAGACGACGACGACGACGGCGATGAAATAGGAGGGACAACGACGAGACGCCGACGACGGACGACGACGACGAGGGAGGAGGAAGGACGACCACAGCGACAACGACGACGGAACCGACGACGACGCCAAAGAGGACGACGACGATGACGACGAGGAAAAACAGAGGACGACGACTGCGACGACGACGACGACGAGAGAGGAGGGAGGACGGCGACGACGACGACGCAAGAGCGCGCGCGCACGTTTTTGTTGAACATCCGTGTTGCGAAACCTTTTGTTTTTGCATGTTTTTTGGGCACTAGATTTTGAAATCTTCCGAAACCGATGGTTTTTAAATGATTTCGGCATGCGCGCGCGACGACGCGCGGCCGTGCAGTTTGTCCTTTTTTTTGCAGGGGATTCTTGACAACGTATGATTTTTGATAAACGATTGTGCGCGCATAGTATTTTTGGCAGAGGATGGGGAGGGGCGATACCAGCCCAGCTGGGATAGTATGAATTCACAGTTAGGATGGACGGTGGGGCAGAATCATATGTAAATTGCAATGCGAAAAGGGGAATATTAAACCTCGAGGGGGGGCGGGTGGTAGAATGTATTTCCCTACCTAGGCTCTGCCTAGAAGGGTTCCTACTCGGAGGCTTAAAGGGGCCGGGCATGGGGCACACCCCGGGCGGTTCCCCCAGGATCCGCCCCGCGGTCCCCCCAGTCCCCTGGGAGCTTTAGCTTTAGCTTTAGCTTTAGTTTTGGCTTTGGCTTTAGCTTTAGCTTTTGCTTAGCTTCACCTTAGCTTTACCTTAGCTTTAGCTTAGCTTTCGCTTAGCTTTCGCTTAGCTTTCGCTTAGCTTTCGCTTAGCTTTCGCTTAGCTTTAGCTCAGCTTTACTGTTACTACTAATGCTGCTTTCCTAGGGGCTCCAACTCCTAGGTAGGGTCGCACTGGGATAATCTTTTTTAGAACAGAGAATCTATGTTATACAATCCACGTGTTGCAATCTATTCGGTTTAGTATATACGGTGCAATCCATGCGGTGCAATCTATGCGAGGTGGCGACGGGGTGGCGACGGGCAACGACGCGGCGGCGACGGCGGCAACATAGCCGCCAGAGTGACAGACAGGCTCAGACGACGGGCGGCGACGAGGCGGCGGCGGGGCGGCGACGGCGGCAACATAGCCGCCAGACCGATGGTCAGGCCCAGACGACGAGGCGGCGACGAGACGGCGACGAGGCGGCCACGGAGCGGCGACGGCGGCAGCATAGTCGCCAGACCCACAGACAGCCCCAGTTCCTTGTTCTAGAAGTAAGAATCCCAAGCGCAAACACTTTTTGGGGGAATCTGGCTTGCTCCCGCCTACTCCGGCGTAGTGCTGCTCAATCTGGCGTAATCCTGGGATGTGATCTGGCCTAATTCGGTTCGGGGGACCGGTAAGCGGGCTTGATCGTTTCTGATCGTTCTCACGAAAACCTCCCAAAGGAGTTGTCTCCGAAAGTCCAAACCGATAAGTTCACGACTTTCCTTAGGGTCCCCCCTGCGTCCTGGCGTTGTTTTTTGCGCTTGGTCCAGGCGCCCACTCGGCAAGGACGGGGGCGGATTGGGATACCCTCGCGTACCTGGGGTGTTGGCAGCCCGCCGCCTAAAGCATGGCAGCTTCGGCGGCCAGGGCCCTTAGCGGCCTTACCGCCCGTCCTCCTGACAGATTCTGGCTGCGAAGTCCGCCTTGGGTTTCCCCCCCCCCTCCTCCTCCTCCTCCTCCTCCTCCTCCTCCTCCTCCTCCTCCTCCTTCTTAGCTGTTTTCCCAAGCTTGTGGGGTGCGCAGCTTTTGGCAGGCCTCGCCTGCTATTACGGGCCCCGCCCGGCGCCACTCGGGCCATGGTCATCGCTGCGCGGCTTCAGTTTCAGCGGGGCAAGGTCCGTGGCGGACATCCGGTCTCTGTCAGCTTCCTTCCGCGTGAGGATGGGGGCCCCCTGAAAATTAAGGCCGTGGTGTACCCGCGTGCTGGTACCATCGGCGCGGACCTCCAGCATTCGATTCTGAAGGTGCTGGAGTGGCCTCGCAGTTAGCGGAAACGATGGTCACAGTGGTTCGTGGTCACCATTTCAGCTCGGGGATCAGCAAGGCTTCTTTCTGGCTGCAGCCGTGTGCCGCGAAACGCGCTCGGCTCCGAGCGGAGGTCCTCCGCCTGAATACGACCAATATGATGGTGATGATGACGCTGATGATCATAGCGGGACACCGCCACGGCGTCGTCGAGGTCTGCGCAGGGGAGCCGACCCGAGGCATGGGCCTCAGGGCTCCGATCCGTGGGCTGCGTCTGGGGCCGCACTAGGACCTCAGTCGAAGAAACTAAGGCAGCAGGACGTGGAGGAGTATGACAGCCTAGTGCGTTCCTGCCTTGCTGTGTTGCCTTCTCTATCGTCGTTCCCGCAGATGCAGTGACCAAAGGAAGACCTGATGATGGTGCCTGAGGTCTGCCACGTAACGTACCTTGCGGAGGGGCTCCTCATCGCCGAGGCTGGATCCATTGGTGCCGACGGCCTCTTCCTCGCCAGTGCTGAGGAGACCATCGGGGCGGACGGCAATCTATTATCCAGAGCGGATGCCGGGTCGGGTGTGGCATCCAGGCTGCGTTTCGCGGATGCGTCTACGCAGTCTTTGAATTCCATCGTGCCCTATGCCTGTTCCGTGGTGGTATGTGGCTGTGCTTGCGATGTCGTCGGCGTGGGATTTCAGCGTGTTGCCGATGGTGTTGGCTTCTGCCTGGATGCCCTTGACCGTGCCGTCGCTGAACTACTAGTCCTTCCCCCGACCCGCGGCTCGCTCACCAGGACGCTCGGTTTGACCAGATGGGGGACTCTACTTGGTACTTCAAACAGTTCCTTGACGAGGCATCGGAGTTCATCAGGGTGCTTCTCTCCCTCTCACTCCGTAGCCCTTTTGGCTCAAGCCATTTTGGCTCAAGATTTGGCGGGCGCTGTCTCTTGTTACGGGGCGCTCGTTCGAGCGCCAGACGCGCCTCCTTTGTGCCGCGCGTCCTCGGAGGGCCATGGGGCGTGGCGGGCGATGCGGCCCGACCGTGCGCCACTGCGCTACCATCGCCACCATCGCCTCCGTGCGCGAGGCCGCGGAGCTCATGCTGATGCTGCAGGCGGCGAGCGCGACAGCCGCCTGGCAGCGGCGCTGGGCCCGTTGAGACGGCGGCTCCCGTGCGGCCGGCGCTGGGCGAGCGTGCTCAGCGGTTGCTGGGCCTTGCCTCGGAGCTGGTTGCGCTCGCAAGCGAGGCCACCCTGGCCAAAGGACTGTCCAAGCAGTGCGACGCGGGGCGCAAAGCCCCGTCGCACCTGGAGCGGGCATGGCGGGAGCTCGATGCCGCCAGCAGCCTCTTGCGCCGCCCTGGTTCGGGGGGGATGGCGCTGGCTGAGGCGTGCCGCTGGTTCGCTTGCGGCAGCAACGCAAGCTACAAACACAAGCAGATCGAGGTGGTGAAGAGCGAGGCCGAGGAGACGGTGTCCGACGACCACTTCGGCGCGGGCTCGTGGATGGGCTACGAACGCCACCACATCGGGTCCGATACGGAGGACCCAACCGAGGACGAACACACGCAGCAGCAGGTGTTTGGGCAGCGCCAGACCGACGAGCTGAAGAGCATCACCGTCGAGGCGCGCGACGGCGAGGGCCTGGCGATGATGCGCGTCGAGCAGGTTGTCACTGTCGACGCGCAGCCTCAGAACGACCACGGGGCCGCGATCGAGGACGAGATCGGCGAGCACGTGGAGTGGACCGCCGAGGAGCCGTCCGCGGAGCAGGCGGACTGCGAGAATATCGAGGATGGCCCCTATACGAGGTTTAGGTGGGGAGCCACGATGGGGTCGAGATCAACGTTGACCCTGAGGCCCAGGAGTACAGCGACGCGCTGGAGAAGAATACCAGGGAGCTCACGCAAGAGCTCCGCACCACTGTGACTCAGAAGGAGAATATGGACTTCATCCAGGCGGCGAACACGTCGACGCAGAGCGCGTTCCTCACTGACCTCATCCACGAGCTCAGCACGAGGACAACCGCCCAGGAACAGACGGACTTCGAGAATACCGACGTGTCGCGCATCGGAATGCTGCAGGCCGAGCGCGCGAAGGAGCGCGAGGAGCAATACCTTCTCCGCCAGCAGGCGTTGGAGATCGAGCAGCAGATCCGCGACCTGGAGTCGGCGTGGCCGCCGATGACTGCATTCGCCAAGAGCAAGGCCGCACGGGGGCGCAAGGGGCGCCAGCGTTAGCCTTGTCACCAACGTGGCCCTCTAACGTGAGGGGCCCTCTTTTTTCGCTTCTGTCCTCGCCGAGGCGCGGCGCGGGAGTGGCTTCGGTGGTCTCCCCCTGTTCAGGGGGGGTGCAGCCAGGTTGGCGCCCCGTGCGGGCGCTTCTGGTAATGCCCGCCCTGTGCACTCATGTAGTCAAACCTCGCTCGGTGGCGACAGGCACCACGGCGAGTTCAGATAGCTTTCTGTCTGTGGTCGTCCCTCGGCCGCGCTTGCAACTGGCGCAGCACAAGGGTACTTCTAGTTCGAGGGGCTCGCTCGGATAGCTGACGGATGCATCGGGTCTATTCTTCGTGGTCCTCACGCCTTGCTTCGAGGGTGTGAGATGTGGTTCGGGGTTCTCACGGGCGACCCATTCGACGAGCTCTCATTATTGGTAGTGCGACCTCGCATCATACCTCTCCTGAGCTCTTGGGCAGTCTGTGGTGTGCTACGGCTTCGGCGTCCCAGATTGTCTGTTGGGTGGTTCGGGGTTGATGGCGGCTTCGGCGTCACATATTGTCTCTTGGGAAGCACGTGGTGTGCTACGGCTTCGTCGTCCCTGATTGTTTCTTGGGCATTCTTTGATGGGCGGCGTCTTCGGCGTCCCAGATTGTCTCGTGGGCAATATGGGGTGTGCCACGGCTTCGGCGTCCCAGATTGTCTCTTGGGAGGTTCGGGGTGGACGGAGGCTTCAGCGTCCCAGGTTGTCTCTTGGGAGGCTGTGGTGTTCGGCAGCTTCGGCTCCGAGGTGAGGCCTCGGACCCGCCCTTCTCTTGTCGGTTGCCTCTTTTCGTGTTGTCTTGTCGTTCTGTCTCCTCTCCTCTTGTTTTCCTCTCCTCCCTACTTGTCGTTTCTGCGCTTAGGGCTCGTCGTTGCTTCCCCTCGGCCTCGTCTCCCTCCTTTCCCCCCTCGTTTCCTTGTCGCCGTCGCTCGCGGGTGCAGTGAAGGAAGACAGACATCTCCTCCTCCTCCTCCACCTTCTGCCTCCTCCTCCTCCTCCTCCTCGACTCTTTTCTCTTCTCCTCCACAATAATTCAAGATGAATACTACAATACTACTCTCCCTCTATCCCTGATGACGGTTCTTGGAAGTTGCCCCCCCCCCCCCCCCCCCCCGCGTACTGTTTTTTTTGCACGCAGGTTTCCCCGGAGTTGGGTTTTCGCTGGCATTTTTTCCAAAATGCTGCTCTCGCTGAGGTGCCGGCCTCATTTTCGGGCCCCGTTCGTTCCGAATCGGAAAATCGAGTTCCGAGACGGCGCCGAAAAAAGGACATTTCAATACACATTTTTCTTTTGAGATGCTGAATTTCTGCTTCCGGCGCCCGGGAGGCCTCCTCGGCCGATTCCGACGCCCGGGCCGGCGCCCGAGCCGGCGCCCGGGCCGGACGCCCGAGCCGGCGCCCTGGCCGGCGCCCAGGCCCGGTCCGGAGCCGTTTCCGGCTGGTGCCGGAAAATCGAGTACCGAGGCGACGCCGAAAAAAGGCCATTCCAATACACATTTTTCTTTTGAGAATGCTGAATTTCTGCTTCTGGCGCCCGGGAAGCCTCCCGGGCCGATTCCGGCGTGGTTCCGCTCGTTCCGAGTCGTGCTCCCGCTGCGGCGCGGGCCTCATTTCCGCGCTTCCGCTCGTTTCGACTCGTGCTGCCGCTGCAGCGCTGGCGTCATTTCCCGTGCCATGCCACGGCATGCAATGCAATGTTCGGCTCCTACTACGCTTCGCGGTGCTCTTCTACGCCATGCCATGCCGTGCTCTACAATGCATCGCGTAATTACCCTTTCGGGATCATTGCCCTGCTCGACATCCGACCGTGCGAGTAGAGAGGGGATTTGCGCCATGGTAAGGGATGGGAGGGGAGGTGTAGGATGCCAGATATGTCGCGAGCGCACCCAGCTTGTCCTCCCCCCTCCCCTTCCGCCTCCTCCTCCTCCTCCTCCTCCTCCTCCTCCTATGTAGTTACTGCCCGCAGTATTCCTCTATAGTTACTGCCCACATTGACCTCCAGGACAAAACCCGGAAACAATGCCGGCGGTCCTGCGCTCACTTGGTTTATTAATTACTGTGTCCAAGTATACCTCTGTTTCAGTTAATTATTACGTTGGTTGCAACAGGGTGTGACAATGACATCCCAAGAAACTTGTTTAACAATACACGTCATCGCACATTCTCTGTCGCAGGGATCTCTCTCCCTGTTTACCCCCAAACATTCCTGGCTGTTAGGGATCGGGGGTGCACCAAAACATTGACCCCCACGTGGCGAAAGCCAGGCCGTGGTTTTGCGCCGCCCCTTCTAAGGCCCGGGCCATGCGCACCTCCGAAGCAATCTGTATCACTTAAGCGAAGCTTCTCCCGCGCACCTGAGCAGCCCTTCCGGCTGCCGTCTCCGAGGATGGCCGAAACCAAGCCGGGGAGAGTTCAGAAACCGTGGGGACGTACCACGTCAGTGGCCATCTCGCCCATTCATAACACTCATCCCCCATGCGTTAAGACCCCCGGAAACCATTTGACTCAAAGGATTGGTTTCTGCCATCCTCAAGACTTTAAGGATGAGACCTCCTAGAGTCTTTGCAACTCCTTTTCTGCATCGGGATGTTTCTTTAGGCAGCGGGTGAGTGGGAAATCGCAATCACCCTGACAAAGGGTTTTGATGGTCGCCTTATCCTTAAGATGGGTTCTAGGTGCCCTCAAAGCCTATTGCGTACCTGGCAGTCCTCCTCCTCCTCCTCCTCCTCCTCCTCCTCCTCCTCCTCCTCCTCCTCCTCCTCCTCCTCCTCCCCGTCGCGGCAGCGCTCCGTCTGCCTCCGCCAGGCCGCCGGGGAGCCCTTCATCCCTCCGCCACCGCAGAAGCCGCCCCCGCCGACGGCCAGCCCCCGCGCCGCCCAGCCGCCCCCCGCGGCGCGCCAGGTGAGGGAGGGTCCCTCCCTTCTCCTTCTCTCCCCCCTCCCTCCCTCCTCCCTCCCGCCTTCCCTCCTCCCCCCCTTCCTCCATCCCTCCTTCTTCCCTCCCTCCCATCCCTCCCCCCCCATCCCATCCCTCTCGTCTCCTACCTCCCACTCCCCCCCGCCTTCCCGCCTCCTCCTCCTCCTCCTCTTCCTCCTCCTCCTCATCTTCCTCCTCCTCCTCCTCCTCCTCCTCCTTCTCCACGTCCTCCTCCTCCTCCTCCGGCGGCGCCAAGGGGGGAGCTTTCCCCCCCTTTGGCTGGGCGCGAAGGATTCCCCCCAATGCTCGAAATCCCAATCGCCTAGTACTCTTTATCCTCCTCCTCCTCCTCCTCCTCCTCCTCCTCCTCCTCCTCCTCATCCTCGTCGCTCTCCCCCTCACCCCTCCCTTCCTCCCTCCCTTCCTCCCTCGGTCTTCGCTTGGGGGCACCTCAAGGGCTCCCCACCCCTACCACAAAACGGAGGCTCCAGGCTTGGGGTTGCGCGCCCGTGCCGCCTCTGCTCGCCTGCCGGGCCGCCTTCAACGGACCAGGCGCTCCAGGGAGCAGGTCGAGAAACAGCACAAGGAGGAAAATGGGTGCGCGCCGTGGTGCGGGGGGGGCACCGGTTGGCATGGCCGTCCTCGGCGTCTTGTGGGGTCCACGAACCCGCCCAAGACGGCCCATGAGGCCCCAAAGACAGCCCAAGAGGCTCACAAAGCAGCCTCAGCGAGGCCCAAGAGGGCCCCAAGACGCCCAAGAACGCTCCAAGAGGGCCCGAGATGGCATGAAGATGGCCGAAGAGGGCCCCAAGGGGGCCTTCAAGAGGCAAACATCGGCCAATTCCTTTCGTAAAACGTACGTTTTCAGCATACTCGCTTGCTTCGTATTCCAAGTGCCCCAGACGCCCCCGAGGAGCCCCAAAACAGTCCAAGAGATGCCCAAGAGGGCCCAAGACGGCCCAAAAGGGTCGCCATGTCGGGCTCACAGAACTCCCCAAGATGGCCCAAGAGGTCCCAAAGCCCCAAAGCCGAACCAGGGGGCCCCCAGGACGGCCTCAGGGAGGCCCAAGAGGGCCTCGTTCGAAATCATGTTCCCGGAAGCCATTCCGGGAACATGATTTCCGGGTTCCCAAGACGCCCAAGTGGGCTTCAGGACGGCCCCAAGGGGCCCTAAATGGACATCCAAAAAGGCCCAGAGGGCCACAGTTCGTTGATTTGCGCGAGATGTTGTTGGATTCCTTCCGCGCGGAGGAGACGGAGAGGGCGAAGGAGGAGGAG